GGTTACTTCCCCAAAACGAGCCACAAGACCCTCAAGTACTTTTGCACCGAGACAACAAATTGTATTTCTCAGAAGGGCACTTTATTGGCTTTCACTCACTGACAATGGCTGTTGCATTTGCATTTAAATCGATGTTCCGCTTTCTCGCACTGCAAAACGCTTTTTGAAACTAATTAATTGTGTTCCAGTAGGATGAACAGCAAACTAGGATGGGGTTTCCTAGGTGGGGCAGGCAGATACCAAAACTGTGCTTTGTATCTCTGGGATACTTTTTATACTTTTGTATCTTGCACACTTGAGCACTTGCCTAAAGAGGTCTGTTTCGAAAATAAATATCCAGCACCGAAAATAAACGAGTGTTTACTTCGAGACGATCGATGGATGTTTCTTGGGTTCAAGACGTGGCAGCAGATCCACAGCGAATCCCAACCGCACGTGCAGAGAGTCTAATGCCGAATGGTTCAAAAAATACTGACGACGACTGACTGAGGTAAACTCGGCCCGCGATCGCCACAAAATATCCAAGCGAACGAATTCGCCGTCGTCGAGTGCGGCGAACAAACAAATGCTGGGGCCCCAAACGACAGCATAACGAGCTCTCTAGATACTACGTACTATAGCACGATCGAATGAATCCAAACATGCGGCACGAAAATTCCATTTCACACACGCGCAACCGGAGTTGAGTGAGTTTGGGTTCGGTATCTGTGAGATATCTGGAGTTGGTTCCTCTGGTGGTGGCTTTTGCACCCTTACAAATGTTTGCGCAGTGTAGTAATATATCCGTTAGGGTAATGCAAACCTTTGTGCCTGAAATGTGAATGAGTTTTAAGATGACTCAGGTAACGGAGACCAGAATTTTGTAAGTGACTCGTTTGTATGCATTTAGACACGCTCTAACCGATGAAAATTCGAGTTAGTCACCTTTGGAAAATTTGTTGGCGTTGGGAATATGCGACATTTTCACCTTTATTGGCTATCCCTTTAAAAATGTCTTAATAATTTTTTGTACTATATTTAATAATATTATTTATAATATAAATATGCACTACATAAATTTAAATTGTTATTATCATCCCTTAAAAACTCCATATTTTAATTTGACGAAGAAATCACCAGCTTATTTAAAGGAAGTCTTAAAAAGTCCAAATTGACAGTTGTTTCTTCACCACGACATCTCACAAATATTTACCAGCTGTTGGCAAATACAAGAGTCGGATACCTAAGTATTCTATGACTTTTTTGCACACCTTCGCTCAGCTGGCAGAGAAGAGGGCAAATATTTAGCAAAGGAGCTGGTTGACAATTGGGGATTCCCAAGAGGAGGGTATTATCAAAACCGGTTTCTTTGTCAAGTGCATGCCATGCAAATATTTGGACGTGGTGATCACCAACGGAGGCCAATAGGTTTTTATTAACTGGCTAGCACAGTCATATCGAGGGCCGCCAATAAATGGGAGCTCGCTATCTAAAATTTCGAATGTTTTTATCACAGATAAGGGGCGACTCCGGATACCGGCATATGAACATATACAAATACCTGGGAATTTGGCCTACAACCCTCCAAGTGGGCAAATGTAACTCTGGAAGACCTTGGCGCCTTATCAAACAAAAACATTGCCCTACTTATTGATTTTGGTGTGCAAAGAAAAAACAATTCTAACAATGTAGTTTAAACAAATATTTTTATTAAAAATGTGCATTTTAATTAACCTGAGAATGTTGTAAATAACTCAAAAAACTCCCTTTTAAAACACCCCGGTTTTTAACCGTCAAGGATTCAATGATAAGAATGCAATTAGCTTTGAAGTTATAAACTTATGTACCACTTTCTATATCAATTTCAAATTCTCAAGTGGCAATCAAATCGGCACTGGTTATTAATAGGCCATTCGATCGAAATATAATTTCAGTTGACTTAACAGATTAGCACTGGTTAAGTTTATGGGGCCTTCGCAAATATTTACCGCCGGCGCTAACACCCCGTAGTTATCAAATAATTAGCGTCCATTTAAAAGCAATTATCACCTACACATTCATAGGCTCACGCCTCGCGGTGTTATGAAGAACATCGATGGGCATAAATCATGCGAAAGTTAAATTATGTGGCCCAATGTTGCGCATACGCCATGTGTCAAGCGAAAGCCCCGTGACAAGTCATTCGCCAAGTGAGGGTGAAACGCTGCCCAAGGCATATAAGAAAGTAACAAAAAACCAACATGCACGAGTACTTAGATCAAATGATTTAATTAGCACTGGCCCCTCAATTGTGTTCATTTTAATTACATATATTTTATCAGCCGTCAAAGCTTACGATTGCGATAGTCGCAAGGAGGAGGCAAGTTGTCGTGGCCCATGTGTCAATAAGTCAAATGATGTTAATTAATTGAGGTCGATAGCGAAATGCTCTGCAGCCGACAGCCTGCCACAGGCAGTTTACGCTTTCCCAACGTAATTAGCCCAAACGCACTGTTACACAATCAGGGAATCATATAACCAAGATACACCGCAGAACTAATTATTCGCCCTACCTAACCAGGGCCAAACTTGTCAAAGTGCAACACAGTAATGACAAACGCTCTGCCTATCAGATCTGAGGGAATTCCCAGTATTTATCTCACACATGAGCTGAAACTATTTCGGAATTTAACATGTGAAAGAGTTGTACTATTACTAAGCTTTAAAATATAGTTTACTTAACTGTTGGGATACATTTCTTTCTAACTACTCAAAAGAAATCAATTCCTACATTATCTTTTTCCAAGGTAGCACTTTAGAAGTCATCTTAAAAATAGAACATTGTCACATGGAAAAGACTTTGGATTTCAAAATTAAAGAGCTTTATCGCAGTTTTACCACAACAGCCCCTGAAGAGCTACTATCGACCATTAATATTCAGATAATCAAAACAATTTGGCTTTATGCAGCGATGTCGAGTGATTAAAGTGGTGCTGAGCAATCCGATAGACAATACTCCCAGGACGCACCATCTTTTGCTCCAGTGCATCGCCGTAAAGTTTCACCAGCGAAGGCTCCTCTTCCACGGGTTCCAAGTATGCAGACAAGCCACCCATCAACTGCAGATAGAAATTTAAACCCTAACTTCTTTGTTTTGACTTTAAGTTACAGCTTTTGTACTTACCAACTTTTCATCACAGTTTATGAAACGCACAGCCTGCACGTGCTCGGACCAAAGTCGCCTTCGCCACTTGTTATCATACTTTTGGGCCAGTGGCAACAGCACCAGTGAACTGAACAGCTCATCGCCATAGCTGGCCGCCTCGAAGTGTTCGACAAAGAGATAGTAAAGCGGCTCGAATCTGCCCTTATCGGCCAACTCCACATCAAAGTCAAAGTCATGGCTGGCATTCTGCCTGTAGAAATCCATCAGACAGTCGCGCAGCAGCTCATGCAAATCCGGTACCAGGAACTGTGAGTCGGGGCCCATAAAAGCAATCATCAGATACATGAGCTTCTCCAGCGGGCTAACAATCTGCAGGCCCTCTCGTTCCAGTTGCCGCACGAAAGTCAATGTCATCCGGACCACTTGATTTTCTGTTCACATAAAGTACACATACGGTTTATCCCCAAGAAAAGCAAAGTCTGAAGTGTGAGATCGCACCTGAGTATATTGCCGCCGGGCGCTGCTGCACATTTTGCAAGTAATTGTTGAGGATAAGACGCAGCTGGAAAAAGGGCCAGTCGGCGGGCAGGATGGGCGCTTGGGTGTAGCTCAAGGATAGCGACGGCTCGGAATTGTCCTGGAGGAAAAGTACAAAAATCAATATGTGTAAGTGAAAAAATATGGGATTGTAAGATCTTGATAAATTGGCTATTTGAATTGCAAGCTTTAAATGAACATAGCAATACATACAGCTATTATGTGTGGATAGACCATTTCCAGGCAGGATTGTTGCAGCAGCTTCAGGCTCGCTTCGTCCAACTTGACGAACTCTGCATTGAAGATGAACCGCTCGAAGGTGCTCTTGATCTGGGTGGCATGGGCGGTGGACAGGCAGCAGAGATAGTTGTAGACCAACTGCAACAGCAGCTGGCGCTCCAAGTACGTTTCCATGCCGTCCGTGGTGAGCAGCTGGTGGATGAACCTCAGCTCGCTGCGGGCAAAGAAGTTGGTGGCCAGGACGCGATTCAGCTGGGAGCTCAGCTGGCGCAGATACTCGGCCAGAGGTTCAAGCACCGGCGGTTGCATAAGCGCCGCAAACAATGGCTTCTCGCCGCTCTCCAGCGGTACAGAGAGCAGGGCCCAAAGGTTACTCAACAGATGCACCGGATACGTCTCACTGACAATCAGCTGCGGCCCATAGTCGTGCATCAGCACTGCGCCCACATTAGGCAACGCCGCGTGCACATGGCGTCGATCAAGAGGGTGTTTCAGCACGACCGAGCCCTTTCTGGAAGATAGCAATTAGGTGTGATTGAATAGGTATATACTTTCAAGCTCAACTTACGCTAGGTCATGTACAATTGCAATGAACCCCTTGGACTGCACGAATTTCGGGAGGATGCTGCGCAGGAAGGTCTGGAAACTGCTGGTCCCCAAGTAGCAATTTTGTGAAAACCAGCATACGGCATATAGGGCGGCACTTAGCAGTGTCATTTGACTAAACTGGAAATAGAGGATTAAGGGTTAATTTAGTTAAATTAAAACAACTCAGCCAACTTACATCTTTGATTTTTTCAACACGGGTGGCAGAATGTAGCCAGGCGCAGCAGCAATTGTTGAGCGGCTCCAAGAGCAGCTTTTGCCCCTCGGCTTCGCATGCTCCGCTCTCGCCACTGGCCACCAGTGCGACCAACAGGGCGGCTGCGTGTTGACGAACCAGCCCCGATCCGCCCACACCATCAAAAACACAGTGATTGCTATGCCAGTCCAGTAGCTGACGAAGCGCGGGCAGGAACTGCCTGCAAATGACACAAAACTATAGTTATTATCCGCAGTCAGTACTAGATTTGCTATAAAAGTGAGCTGCGGCCCAAACCAAACTCAGTTCGATTTAAGCAATTTTGAAGGCGGTTTACCAATTTTTTTTTTATAATGGGACCCTGGCATTTAGGCATTCTACTGGCAGCCCTTATAATATATGATTTGGTTCCTGCAAATCAAGGAGTAAGTACTCCCTACTCATTACACTACTTGGAAACTCATGAAGTGTTCTTCCGAGTAGCAGGACATTAACCCCATGATTATAAGACAAGTTAAGAAACTACGAACGCGATGCTTAAATCAGACAGGAGCCTCCGTAGGTACATATATGATATTCTTTAAAAACTCATTTAAAAAAAGTACATTTCGCCTAAACAAAAGAAATTATGGACCATTCCGTAAAAAATAGAATGTTACCCAACGATCCACTCGTTAAATGTTTTCTACACTGCATGTTTGATATGTTTGGATTGGTATGTATCGTCTTCTTAAAAACTTGTAAAGAAGGTATTATATTTTGAAAATGTCTCACCCTATAGATTGACTCACAGAACATTATGCACTTGGAGGCACTTGTGGAAGTTTTACCGGAGGAATTACACAACACAATTATTGGATTAGTCGGCGCATGTGGTACTAAGAGTACGTAAACCTTTTAACATATCTTAAATAATTTGTAGTTATGTGTATAAAACTCTTGCCAGAGGGAAAAGATGGCTGTGAAACCGCTTATGAGACCGTCAAGTGCTACATCGATGTAAATGGCATATTTATATGGAAGCAGATGGTATCGCTACTTGGATAGCGGTCACCCACCTGAATAGATCGCGATCCACGATTCCCAGGAGCAGTAGACAGCGCAGGATGCGCAGTGACTCGATCTGAACGCGAACCATTTGGACCTGTACAAGAAAATTCCATGTTTAATGTGACCCACACAAATAAATGCGTATACAAGCCTTATTATCCTGAAGAAACAGGTATTGCTGAAGCCGCACAATAAGAACTCCTTTAAAAAGACTCTTGGCTATATCCAGATGTTGGCAAACCAGCACTCGAATCAGTTTTAGTAAGAGAATTTGCGGCTGTCCATAAAACTGATTGCTTCCATTCGAAGAGGGTAAGAAATTAACGAAGAGGACTTCTATTAAATAGCTGTCATTCGCCAACTGTCTAGCCACTTTAATACTTGTGCGAGCGATCCTTATAAGCAATTTCAGAGAGGACTCCACTGTGCTATTATCTGGCTTCACAGAGTCCAAGATAAATCTAAAAAAAACATTATTTTTAGATGAAGTTATAGTTTTAACAATGTTCATTGCTTACCGAATCCTTTGCAATATATTTGTTCTAAGTAAACAGTCTATGAGATCTGTTTCAGCTAGTTGAAAGTCGTCCATGGACATTCGACTCTGCGATTCGTCTTCATCCACTTCCGCGCGCACAGATTGACTGGTGGTTAGTAGCTTCATGTAGCGTTGTAGGAAGGCTATGGAATTGGTATCTGTACCTCCTTCTTTGTCATTACTGCCATTCCCCAAAACCTGCAGCGTTGGCTGCCAATGACAGTAGGCATTATCCTGAATATGATCAAGGAGAACCTCATCCGTTTCATTATAGAATAGGTTTGCCAGAGCTCGGCTCACAACTTCCAGCTGAGCGGGGGCATTGTCATCGAGCCCGTAGCGCAAAAGAAAGAATATTTTCGATATTGGTAGAGAAAGCACTTGATCATAGAATCCCTGGTTGTAGATGCTAAAGATTCCCGCAATGGCCCCGAAAGCGGAGAGTCTTTGCTGTAAGACAGTGGATCTGGAAGAGTTCAGTTTCAGAAAATTGGTAACCAATTTTATCTAGAAAGTCCTAGACTTACCTTGCCAATCGAAACAGCTCTTGAAGTGCATAGCCGGGACGATCTGCCTCCTCGCCATGTAAATAAAGTTCTCGCTCGTCCAGTTGCGTTGAAGAATCCTGGTCCTTAAGCGTGTGGGGCAGAAGCACACCTTTCCAATCGAAGCGTGCATTGAACTGTTCTCCTGGCTTCAATTCACTTATCTTGGCGGGAATATCCCGCATCCAGGCTAATTTGTGATCCTCCACGAGATTGAAATTAACCCAATTTCCTTTATCGCTCTGCTGCAAAAGCTCAAGAGCTGGATTTGAATCGGGTAGGGAGGAAATTTGTGGGTTTTGGGATTTTGAGGACTGTGAGGGCATGAGTGGCTGTGGTGCTGCCTCAATTATCTTAGGAGATGTTTTCTTTTCCGAGGAATTCTTACTGGTTTGCCGTTTCTTGGACAGCAAAGCAATCAGCGAGGGATCTGTAAAGCAATATCTGTGTTATTGGAGAAATTAAACCTAATAAATATTATATTACTTACCCAAAGAAGCCAGTAACCTTTTTTTCTCTGCCAAAATGTCCTGTTCGCTCATTTGTTTGAGCACATTAAGGTTTTCTTGGTGTAGTTCCTTGCCCAACTTGGCATCCTTTATTATGGAACTACCTTCATTTCTTGGTAAATCAGAATGGCTCTTAAATATTTTAGGGCTTGGTGAACTACTATTCAATAAATGTTTGGCAAAAATGCTAAGGGGCTTGCTGGTGTTCACCTAGAACAAGGATTATCATTAAAAACATATGAGAAGGAGTTTAGAATCCAATCATGTAACCTGTTTGGTATTCTGGAGGGAAGGTCTTGCGGTTCCTCCAGTTCTTTCAACCAGTTCACCCAGTACATTGCCCAGGGAACTGGGATTCATTCTATTGCCCTTCACATCGCCCAGAATGTTCTCCTGGATTTCATCGAGCAGAACTTGGTTGGCATGAGTTCGTTCACTTTCCTTGGAGGCACTTGTTGCAATCTCTGGGACTTCTTTGGCAGCCGGTAAAATATGTTGTGCAACCGATGTAACACGCCCCAATTTGGCCTGCTCGCGTTTCTGGGCAAACATGGATTTCTTTGGAGCTACAAAAAGTAAGAAACAAGCAATTGTTTATAAACATTTGGTACCAAAATGCAATCTTAACCTACCTTTATCCATCCGCACAAACGCCGCTGCAGGCTGGAAATTGGGATCCTTGGCTCTCTCTGCATTGAACTCAGCTGCCATCCGCAGGACATCTTCCTCAGTTTCACCAGGCTTCAGTTTCTTAAACATTTTGACCGGAAAAAATAAACTCAAAATGTTTCAAAACAATGCGGCAGTGTGACCGTTTCTGAATAGCTTAAATATACCAGGGATCTAAAACAATCTTCGTTAACAGACATGTTAACAGTGCCGCCATTACAGTTTCTGTTTTTAGTACATTTAGAACATTATGAATTTGAAATTGAAACGGAAAGTTCCGAATTTTGTTTTAATACAATCGTCCTGAAACGCGCTCAGTATTTTAAATAAAATGTTTATGTTATTAAATCTTCGCAATCCATTTATATACTTCAGTTAATTAAATTTTATTTTGTATTCAAGTAGAAAAAACGATTTAATAATACATGCATAAGCCAGTGACTAGTTTTCGTATTTATTTTCCCTCCTTTTTGAAAGTGGTGCCAGTGTCGGACAAACATCTGGTGAGCGATTGCTGGGCCACTAAAGTATCCTTGTGGGGCAGGACCGCCACATGGAAGAACATCTCGAGTCCCTCCTTAAAAAGTTCTATAGCCTCCCCGGTCTTCTGGGCCTCCATGGCGCGCGCAGCCTCTCTATAAAGTTCCTCAATCTTGATCAGTTTGGATACGCTCTCTTTGAGCGAGATGTTCTTGCGGCAGCGAGGACAACGCACATCCTTCGCCAAGTCCTTGGGGAACTTGAGCAGATTAACGCAGTTGGCTGAAGTACACCTATAATAAACAATTAAAATGTTTAAACTATGATATATCGTTACTTTTCAGACTTAATACCCACCAAAAACGGACTTGCTTGTCCAGCTTCTGTAGCAATGGCCAGTTCTCCTGGCAGGCCATACAAGTGCAGTTGAAGGAGTAGCGTCCTCGCAGGGATCTCTGCCGCTCCTTCAAGTTGTTCTTAATGAAAATGGGTCCGTAATTAACGGATACAACTTCGTTGGGACGATGAGGCTTGGTAGCCGTTAAAACCAATTTCTTGCCAACGAAATGACAAGCCGTGCTAGAATTATAATTAGAAATAATTTAACGGATTAATACTAATAATTGTCGCAGGGATTGGTAGTATACTATAAAAATAACTCTAAATGTAACTTTAAGGATCGTATAAAATTAACCCACCTGGGCCAGCACTCGTGATTAAAATAGGAACCAGTGCCATAAAGACCAGTGGCAATATAGACCGTCTTGCTGCCGTCAAATCGATGCTCGTCGGTCACTTGGGTTTGGTAGATCTGGTGGGCATTGTACTGAAGCACCTGCAACAGACCCAGCAAGGCGGTGGCCACCTGAAGTTCCACGGCCGTGGGATTCACGCCCTCCGTCTTGCGACGACCAAAGTACAGGGACTTCTGGAGGATGCGCATCAGAAAACCGGCCATCAGGGAGCGGTGCAAGTAGTCCTCCGGCTGGCGCTCGTCCTCGTGGGAGCACATGTGCTCGAAGAGCAGGTTGGCCGTGGCCAGCCCCTGCTCCAAACTGGCCGCCTGCGTGAAGACTCGCAGTGCGATGAAGCACAGGATGGACATTCCGGAACCGATCAGCAGATCCATGTACTCGCACTCAAATCGATGGTAGCTGGAACAGGCCTCACCCATGCACTGGGCCGAGCAGAAGGCGATTCCCGAGCAATGCAGACAGGAAACCGGGGTGTGAAGCCTATAAGTAACTCGATTTTTATATAGATATCTTAATGGAATCAAAGATGGTTACCCTTACCTCTTGAAGCAATTATGACAGTGAGTGCCGAAGTAAGTGGGTTCCAGACAGGCGGCCACTGGATCTTCGCAGAGCAGGACATCGCCAGTTCTTAGACCATCGTTGGCTACCACAAAACGACCCTTATCCTTGGTCTCCACCAGCCTTACCACCTTGGATGCACTACTCAGTTCGGGATTCTCGCCATGTGCTAGTTGTGGCACCTGTTCAGAGGAGGCTGCCTTGGGAATCCCCTTCACTGCAGCTATTTCCTTGCGACACAAGGCGATGTGGGTGGGATCGGAGCCTGTCATCTTCTCGGCAATCTTCAGTGAGATCTCGGCGCGGGCAGGTTCTCCCATGACTGCAATATAAAAAGTTACCATTAAAATAAATAAATTTGAATAAATTAACTTTGCTAAGATTTTAATACACTATCTTATCATTATATCATTATAAAAAGTAAATCAAATATCTGTATACAGTTATAGAGCAGAGTTCGGCAGCTTCCCATTCTGATGAATTTCTGATTATTGGTGCTGCTAAATCAACGGATCTACTTAAAACACTGATATTTTAAAAATCTTCCTGCTAGTAATAACATATAAAATTTTTAGTAGATTTTATCCTGGTGATATATTACGTTGACCCACCTGCATAAGCCTTGGCCATCTTGCAGTAGTAATCCACGCTGGTCTTAAGCTCCAGGCCAAAATTGATGGCCAACTTGAGGTCATTCAGTGCAGCCTCGCCCTCGCCCAAGCGGATCAGGATGGAAGCCCTCGACCTGTAGGCCAATGCCAGGGTGAGGCCATCATCAATAGAAGGATCTGCATTCCGGTCGGGAGCCCGCATCACGGCCAGATTGGCGGCCATCAGAGCCTGCTGCAGGATCTCCCTGCTCTCCTCGTCCTCCCCGTTGCCACTCATCAGATAGAATTTATCCGCCTGGGCCCTCCTTTGGGCGGAGAAGAGAGCATCCTTCTGCTTGAAGACCGGCTGCACATGCTCCAGGACACCGAGCACAGGATCGCACACCTCGCGATCGCTGAAAATCGACAGAACCCGGGCCGCATTGGACTTCAGCTTGCCAAAGTAGTTCCGCAGCCACTTGTCGCCACATGCATCCCGCACATCCAAGCAAAATTCGTTGAAGAATCCCCGCCTCTCCGACTGAACGGTCTGCGTGGAGCAGATCTGGTGATATGTGGCATCGAACTCCATTCTGGCTCCAAATTATGTAAAATCTGATACAGATTTTCGGTGCAACGGATGGAAAAAAAGTATCTTATCGTCCGCGTTTTCCGATCACCACACTGCCGTTGAGTATTGAAAACAGCTGGCGGACGTTCGGCCTCCAAAAATAGCACCGATCGTTCAGTTCGCAGCATTATAAATACTCGGGAATGAGTTTTGAACTAGTACCAGCCGTAATCGGTGTTCACTTTCGATATGTTTTTAAGGTTTTCATTTATTTTTGAAATAAATAGAAATATTTACATTTATTCTTTGACTCAATATAGTTATTTATTTTCAATTAACTTTATTCCACTTAAAATGCAAGCGATCAGTTATAATATTCATTTTATTTGTAACTGGAATCGGGCTTATAATCACATTAAATAATTTATTTAAAAATTAGCTAAACGTACAAAAATATAACAATATGTATATCAGAGTATTTGTAGTTATATATTCGTAGTTTAAGATGTTAAGTATATTTTCTTTCGCCTGGAAATATTCAAGTTGAGTTTAAATATTCATTAATATTTAGATTTTCTCATGGACTAGATAGATTTTATTCAACCATTTGTTTATCAGTTTGGAAAGATTTTAAATAAAGAAGAGTATTTTTCTAACATTATTCTGCGTTACTCCTTTCTCTTTCGTCGCCATCTCATAAAAACATTGAGGATAAACTTAAAACTATGTCTGACTAGATGAATCAGAAAATCCTGTGGAGTAAGAAACATAAAACTAATAAATTATAAACAATTTTGGTGTTTAATTTATTTTAATTTTTGTATTTATTTGCTCGAATAATGATTGCGTGGTTTTCAATGATCAAGATTATTTAAATAAGTCCAATGATTTAAATGGGATATACTTTGATAGACTTCAGTAAAATGCGGTGCTGTGGTAAAGCATGTTTTGGGATAATAGAAAATCATATTTAAAGTCATTATTTTCGCTAGAGACGTACAAGATTCAATTGGCTGATTAAGAGTAAGGTACAAAATTATACATATACTTTTAAATTCAGAACCGTTACAATGTATATAAAATAGGATTGAACTTAAGATTGGTCGGTTTTTGCGTTCGGGTTCAGAAGATTCACATGATGTATAAAATAAATTACATGGTGTGTGGGTGTTGTGTTTTTGTTTTGTTTGTTAGCTTTAGTCACAATTAATCTCGTTGGCTTCAATTGCAATACGATCTAAGAGAAAGTGTTACTAAACTTAACAAATAAAATGCTACAAAATTTCAGCCTCGCCGCCGAACTTGTTCAAGACTGCGACAGCTCCGGAGCTTACAAGTCGGTATTATAGTAGGTATATGTATATGTGTATATTATAAACTATTATCATCACATTGTAAACGTTAAGTGTTTCTCATTATTTTGTGTAATCCATTAATCTAAGCAAAAACGAGTACATCGTAGTTTTAATGTCTTTTGTGTTTAAGCTTAAAACGCTGCCGAATATCCGTCTAACCGTCGATTAGATTTCCGATTCCCTCACATTCAGCCTGCCTCGCTCACTCTGATTAACGCTATTTCGCTTTCGAAAGCAGTCGGATGGGACAAACTGAAAACCCGTGAAACATTTCGAAGCCGGTTCCGTTTTTGGTATGTGTTTTATAGCAGTTTACCGAGAGGATGATTGCCCTCGACGTATCCTACGTACAATTGTAAATAAATTAGCACTTAAGAGATAGAGTGGCCTAAACCTACTTATAGGTCGCAGGATAGCCTAAGAAATGTGTGGGATTAGCTCACGTCTGCCACGCGCCAAAATGTAACATTTTCTCATTCGCATTTATAAATAAATTAGCCATAGTATCACTTATTTTGTATTTTAAGAAAATAACCAAACTAATTCAACTATAAAAACTTAAAAATGATAACCCAGAACATGGAAGAGGCCTGTTTTACAATTAAGGAAAGCAGCACGAGACTGTCTCGTTGCAGCAGAGAGCGAGTGGCGAGCGCACCGACCTATTCTACCGCTACTACTATACAAAGTGGAGCACAGCGTCAGCCGGATCACCAGCCGTATACCCGGCCGCAGCCCGATCCGCCCTGCAGAGCGGGGCCGTTGCCGGGTGGCCGGGCCGAGCCGAGTTAACCTGATCGGAGCGAGATTAGGACAGACATCTCACGACATCTTGATGCCCAGGGCGCGACTCGTATACTCGTAGACCACGTAGCTGATGGACACCGCCGGCAGGACTTTGAGGAAATTGGGTGTGATGCCGCGGTACAGGCCCGTCAGACCCTCCTGCCGCACGATCTTGCGGAACAGGCCCGTCATCGTCTCCTCGCCGCTATGCGCATCGCTGCTCTTCAGGGGTATTTGCGTTTTCCGCTTTTGATTGGCAATTGTCTCGGCAGCTGCAACAGAAAATGGGGAAATAATTATAGCATTACGTTAACAGAATAGAAGGTAGGAGGAACCCTAATCAAATTAAATAATAGCAACATGTCTCACCTTGTGCCTGTAGCCGAGTGCGCACCAGGGCCAGCGGGTAGGAACAGAGCTGTCCCAGTGTGCTCGATGTACTGCCGCATGCCAGGAGCACCAGGAAGCTGGGCTGCTCGTTGTTGTCGTGGTTGGCAATGTATCGCCTCTTGAGAGTTTCGTATACCGCCAAGTCGATGCCGGCATAGGGCAGGATTCCCAGTATGTTCGGTACATAGCCACGGTAGAAGCTACGCACTCCTTCGTGCTTATAGATCTTGACCGCCGCATCGGCAATGCCCGCGTACTGACCCGTTTTCCTGAGCGCCAGGCGCGTCTTTAATACTTCCATGGGGTAGATGATGGTCTGGGAAATTCCGCCTGCCGCAGCACCCGCGTAGAATCGCTCCACAATGCTCATTTGCCGGCTGCCATCTTCGCCGCGGATCAGTCGCTTCATCTGCTCGTAGGCAGCAAACTTGAAAGCCGTTTCGGGGGCAATCTTCAACACATTGATGCCATTGCCTCGCCACATGCTCCGCGATCCGCCCTCGTTCAGCATGATGTGCATGCACTCTGAGATTCCCATTCTTTGCGTTTGTACCTGGTTGGTAAAATTTATATGTTAGCATATTTGGTAAGTATGGTTTTTAAGAGGGAGATGCACCTGCAAGTACACTTTAATCCTGTCCAGCGGCGCTGTGCACGTCCGGGAAACTGCTCCAGCTATGCCACCCGCCACCAAGTGTCGCCACCAGAGGCCCGTCTGCATCTCTTTCTGTGTGAAGTCATCAGGTACATTCATATCCTCGCCAATGTCGAGGTACTGTAAGGAGCAAAAGGAAATTGGTTAGAAAATACTCAGGGTTTATAGATGTAAATCTAAGATTTTGCAAGTCTATGTTGAATGGAATGAAAGGTAGTTAGAAGGCGAAATAAAACATGCATTCCATTATTCTTGGCTTATTGAAACTTATATAAGAGAGAAAGATTATCCTCTTAAAGCTTATAAAAACAAAAATAAAACAGGCATAGGAGGGATAAAATTTGGTATGTTTTTAACACTTTATTCAAGCAATATTTCCGGCATATATGTAAACTACCAGAATTTCTTCAGAACGGCGACATTCTTGGGCTTCTTCCACTAAGCTGACGACTTCCTTGAAAACCTCTACATCCATGATCTAATCACTTAACCACTGACTGTTTTCCCTTTTAAAAATAACCAAGTGGTGGCACTACGGTGTTGTAATATTAAATAATAATGCAGGTTGCTTATGCAGAATGCAAAAGAGTGATGTGAACTAAACAATCTACACGCGCCACGAAAATCCCCATCGGTTGAGTGAGAATTGCGGAAGCAGGTGAAAAAGAACGATGCAAGAGCCGTAAACAAAACTTATATCACTCACATTAGTTTAGTTTGGCTGCTCGTGCATAGACACATATGCAACTATATATATCGGGGGTTCGTGCCGCATCTATGTACTTTATTTTCTCGATTTGTGTTTTCTTCAGACGTGCCCCACCCCGAAAATAATTATAATTGGCTCGCCTTTGACTGTCGCCAATTGGTTGTGCAATTTGGCAGATCTCTTTTAAAAAACTAACGCCAGAATGGGCCTGAATGAGCTGAAATATTATTTGTCTCTATGAATTGCACAGCTTTTGGCTTTAAATCGAATTAATGCCGCTGATAGTCGAAAAGCTGTCTGAAATTGATAACCATTATCAAGTCTTGTGATGTATAAAGCTTTCGAGCGAGCAAAAACCCAACCGAATCCCATTGATTACCAGTGAGAGAGTTATAAAGAAAATTTCTAGAAGTTCAGGGTGAAAATAAAAGGTTATTACACTCATTCCCCCCAGGGCCAAATGTCATTGAAACTAATTTGGACAACAGACATGCGAGTGATAACAGCACTAAAGTGATTTGTTTACCTATTTGGCAGAGCAAGATTTATCCAGTATGTTCCGGTAAACACATCCGCTTTTCATGTGCCAAATTATTTTGCGTGATTGTCACATTCGCACGGTGACAATTTCGAGAAGACTCTTTGCAGAATGAGAATTTAACCTTTGATAACGATGGCAGAGGAGGGTTAAGTTCACTGAATGGGTTAAGTGTACTTAGCAATTTAAATGACTTGAGTTTGCTCTTATAATTAGCGACTAGCAATCACATGGGCTCTATTGTGGGATTGTGGGAATTATTTGGAATGGAATATTAATCCAGCGCAAAAAGAGCAATGGAAATTTTACGAAATGTTAATTGCCCTCTTGATTGCAACGTCATTCGTGATGGAATTTATCATTTCCGAATTGTTTTATATATATTTTATATATCACATGACTGCGAAACAGAGCTTTTTTTATACACAATGATCTATTTATAAGTTAGCCGTGAATTTGGCGCACAAACGTGGAAATGGCCGTGAAAGGAGCGTAGACTAGGTGGAAAATAAAACAGGTTAACCTGGGTCTTTCAAAAACCATGAATGAATGATCTTTGATTACAAAGAGCCACTTACAAACTTTAAAACGCCTTGGAATAATACGAATTCAAGGCGACTACGCTTGAGTGGTTGATCAAGCAGGTTAGTAAGGCTATTGTAGCCCGATATCTGGGGTTTTTCAAGGCATATAGGTACAGTAGATCATCGACCGATCGCTGAACTTGACTCATGCCCGCAGAATTTACAGCAGCGATCTTGACGCGTCTGAAATCCCCCTGCGACGTCAGCGAGTTTCAAAGTAAACATCATCAACAGTGTAATGTAAATATCAACACGTTTATAAAGAGAGAAAACTGTTGACGTCACGCAAATTCTGGGGGCTTGACCAAAATGTGGATAAGACGCCAAGGGGTGGGGGGTCATCAACATCACAAGGCGCTGACTCAGTCGCCCACTATGCGTATACTTGTTATACTCATATTATGCTGAGGCACGTTAACACACATACGCCCTGTTGGCCAAGAGCACAAAAAGCGTGACGTTTGCAGGCGCTTGGCAACAAGTTGTAAAAAAAACTAGAATTCATATGGGAAAAACAGAGAGACAAATAGAGGGAGAGCCACGCGAAACGCAAATCTTAGTCCAACTGACATGCCTGCCATGTGTGTGTGCGAGCTAAGTATGTCGTCTTCGGCGATCGTTAAAGTTAAAGACTGCCTGCAGGGAGAATTCGGGGTTTCGGGGTGGGGGACGGACCGGTTCCATATCAGTACCTCAACCGACGGAGCTCGTTTCAGCCCGCCATCCATCGATCGGCGGTCTGTTGCTAGGCAACTTTAACGTCCATGGGGCAACTCGAAAAACGAATACCACACCAAAAACCAAAACCACGACGACGCACCAAATGAAATATTGTGTAAGCACAAGTGCAGCGAACAATTGCAACAGCTGCGAAGTTGAATAGCGGAATGGGAATTAAATCGCTGCCATTTTGAAGGGTATTTTTAGATGCGCGGGGAGAAAATATCAATAAAATGGGTATCATCTGTGGGGCATCAAGATGTTTCGAATACTAAAAATAAATTTAAAACCAAAAAAAAGGAGATCTCTAAAAGATCTCTTTTAAAAATTAATAAAAAAATGTATGTTTCATAATAATTTTCTTATAAAGATCTGAATTAACTTATAATCTCATTGAGCAAGTCAAGTCACTTAAGGCAGAGACTGCCTCATGGAGACCCCCGCTTAACTTCCAGGAAAAACCACAGACGATAAGATTAACACAGCAAAATAGTAATCAAATGAGTCAGCTTCCGCTGCAGCTGGGTCATATAAAGTATGGATTCTTAGAACAACAGAACAGCCTGAAAGCCTCATAAAAGGGGCCTGTCATCAACCTACCCGTCCCATCATATCGCGGAATATGACCACGAAATCCTCCATCATATCGCCAGCGACTGCCATTTGCTGAATATTGTGGTAATCGACGGGCAGATTGTATTGATATGTGCTATTCCGTAGCATCTTGTCAGGTTTGCACTGTTTCACTTCCGATCTCAAACTCCGTCTTCCGTTTCCGCCTATTTTTGCGCCGGAATGTGGCTTTCACTGTTCCGAAAACAATTGCAAACTTTCACTTGAAGCTGTTAAAAAATATATTTGTGTTGCAGCTCTCTTTGGCTTATGGTTTTTTCTATATTTCTTTTCAGATAGGTATATACTATCTTGTGGATGCTGTGGCCTTATAGAGCGGCCAGACTTTGCCCGATTCGCTTGATTGCAATTGTGTTTACACTTGTCGCGAAAGAGAATAGCGCTCGAGCTCAATTATATAACCACGCTCCAGTGCAGGGTCTTTTTGTATTATTAAAGGGGCTTGAGGTTTTAACGCGCGCACAACCAACGCGGGAGCCAGCTGACTGAAGACTAAAACCGAATCCGAACAATCGGGGGACCTGAGAGCGTCGGCGATCGCGGCCGTAGCTTCGTGATATATGTATGTATGTAGCTTCCCGAGAGCAAAGTACAACCGTCGTGGGCCTGTGTGCTTTTCGCGACTACCTCTCTTTTTTCCCCTAGTTATGATGGGCCAGCGCGCGTGCGGCCTCTGAACAACCCCTACCAGGAAAAATAAACCCCCACCACCCAGTATCGGCTTCTTCCCAATTAGCTATCATTCCATGAGCCTTTTTGACACGCATTTCCCCCACCCCTCTACGTAATTTCCCACTTTTTTTGACACCCAAAACAAGCAAATTAAGGAAAAAATCGTCTGGGAATGAGGAATCGATGCTATAGGTACCCTGTATATGTAGCAAATAGCAATAAATCACACTTGGATGATGCTTTCAACTGTCAAGAATTTAATTTAGTATTTTCTCTGTTTCATAACAGTTAAACAAATATAACTTGAAAACTGTATTATATAGTATGTTTTTACTTTATCACGCTTATTCATTGTTCATTCACAGAAACAATATTTATCAGTAGTGGCCCCATTCGAAACTCATTCAATAATTGGCAATTCTTAAGAATTTTTCTTTTAAAAAATATTATATTTTGGAATGAAAAGGTTCGAATGAATACTCTCTTCCATATCGATAAAATGGAGTGCGAAAAGTGGCTAATAAACGATACCTTTAGTCAATGGGCCAGACACTTTTGGCATTTATTTGCCTGTTATTGTTTACACGTTTCGAATCTTTATCACAAAAGCCACATTTCGCATGCCAAACCGGATCATACCGATTTAGCACCATCTCGAGGGTCTGCCACCGCGTTGATAGCCACATGACGGGCGTGTGACTTTATTAGCTCCCCGCTTGGATGACGCTCTCTCTATAGAGGTGATCTTGACTGTTTACAGACGCTGGAAACTTTTTCCACTTCATTACCATGTAAACGTCATATTTGTAAATAGGGTTTCTGATTAGACCAGGCTCAGTCCCAAAGGTCCAACGGCAGACTTTTCGCGTGTCGTCAACAGAAAACAAATTAAAAATTAAATATAAAAACGCAAAAGAAAAAGTAGCTCACTCTTATCAAACCGAAAAAAAATAATCGTCAGAATAACAAGCTAGTCACTGAAAACTGAGCTCTGACCACAAGACTCTAGACTATCGCTCGAGATAAGCGTAAAAAGTCCGTGAAAAAGCTGGAAACACACCCATTTTTAGGGCCGGCCCCTGTTGAGAGATGTGGCAGTTGTAAGTGATACCTTAACCAGCTGGAATTAATTTACGATGCCCAATAAATAGATGTGGTTAACTGCACCGGGTGCTGTTCAATTGCCTACTTAACGAGCCCCCAACGGCATTAAATTTCCAATGTCTCAAACAATGAACAACAGTTCCCAGAAACACTTGAACTATATGATTGCGACAATCATGCAAGTATCATTCACCCACTTGGTGAATAGAGTTGTCTAAGTTTAAACTGCGTGATATAGTGATATCTCTCTGCTATGCCTTTTCAGACTTATACAATATTTAAGTTGTTAGCTCACTTCGAGGGGTTCCGAACAGGAATAAATAAAAAATCACTGGTTACAGCAGCTGCCTCTGGAGTTCTCGAAAAGAATCGCAAGTGCGCGACAATTACAACTTCTAGACAGCGGACTTTGGCCAAGAGTGATTACAGGGCGCACAATTCGCGTAAATAGTTTTCGCAACATACTAACTAGAAAGCAAATACATATATGTACATAGGCCTTATCGGCGGGAAAAGGCAAATCAATCATCGTATTGCAGGCAACTTAATTATGGCCGCAACTTAATTAAAGCCCAGTTAGTGCGCAGGCTTCGACTTGGCCAGCCGTTCCCTTTTCCTGCCCATCAGGCTAATGCAAGACGATAGCTATTCGGGACCTGTGTCCTTGCAAGGTTCCTAAAAATAGAAGCGAAACGGGACCTGTCTAGCTGGCGGTACGTCAGAGCCAATGAACCGGCTGCCGAGTACTCGCCATTCCAAGTCTGCCTGACAACAATCCCCTGCAGCCGGTTGACCTTATGATTTCAAGTCTGCACAGTCGGCAATAAAAAAAATCACAGTTTATAATCTAAAATTTGAAAAAGCGGTTCCAGACGATCGACGGCTCTGGGAATTCTCTAAATGGCAACAGTACAGAGGCGTTTATTGGGTGTGTGATTTTCCTGTTACATGGGATTGATATAAATTGTGGAATTCAACAGTGACAGTGAGCAAAAGATGATAAAAGTAAACAAAATGATTACGCAGACAACAAAGCGATGATAACGTCACCTGCCTCGGCACACAGCAAGAAATTAGATAATGCGGTGATATTTCAAACAATATTGAAGTATTATTGAATCAAGATATATTTCTAATTACTCTGGTGTGCAAAAAAGTAATAATGACAGTGACTCAGTATTTTAGTTTCTGGGTACAGCTGTAACTTTAACTTATTTAAATTGCTTTTAGTAAAGTTTTAGGGATTAAAAGCAATCAAAAACATTTTGTTTCAACTTTAAATGATTCAACTACTTAACAAACCAGAAGTATTTTACAAAACAATATAGCTCCCAAGAAAACTGTGTCATTTAATGCAGAATCACATCTTATTTGACTCATGTAAGAAGTTAAGAAACACTTAAAAATATTTTCCAAGAATATAACTAAATGTATGCAAATAATAGAGATTAGCTAGAAATTCAAATGCTAGAAGGTTAAGCTCTGTGTAATATTTGTAACATTAACACAAACAATTACGCCCTTAAATTGAATATTTAAATTTTTTTTGGTGTAACTAAAAATACTGGATCTTTATGACAATGTGAAAATTATCCCGATAAGCGGGCGGAACGATATCATTAACGGACTTCCCATAAAACGGGAATTTAAATAGTCTGATGAAATAAGCGTAACATTTACGTCAGTTCCCACTAAAGAGATAGTGATTAAGAGAGCGCCGATCATATCACACCCACATAAAAAAAACCCAGTCTCTTGAGCGGTCCTCGAAAGGTATAATTCTACGAAAATAATACACATGCAGGCAATATGATTTGTGGCTGATTAGCAAATGGGACTGAATGATAACGCCTTACTCGGCGGGTGGGATGGGAGTGTTCAGTGTCCGGGCGTATAAATGTACGGATGTGTTTTAGAGTGCCCTGCTTCTACGTGGGAGGGACTACAACAATATTAATGATAATCGTAATATGTAACTTGACGGATATGTACCTTCAGATCTTCCTCAGTTAGTCAGGAGTAGTGTGGGTGTAGGAACTACATTCGACAGTTTAGATCGTTAGGGTGTGGAGTGTTTTTTTGTCGGTTTGATTTTGTTTTGAGTATGGGCGGGGATAAGAAGGGTAAAAGATGGCAATTAGTTTAAAATACGAGAACGTTAAACAGCTACAAAGTTACTACTGTTATGTACATGTCTATTTCAAAAAACAAACTCTCTGCTTTTAACTCAAGAACTTGCACTATTTACTATAGATAGTCAGTTTTCGAACTTACAGTAGAGTGCCGCCAAAATTTAATCAAGTCGTGAATGTCCGTTGAGGGCGCCAGAAGCATGAAGTCACGCCACTCGTTAAAGCTAATGTTCAGGCTGCCGTCTTTGTCCATTCTGCAAGACAACCCATAATTATAAAGAGATCTTAATTAAAAGTTAATAGGTTTACCCACCTGGTGAGCAGATTCCTAGCCTCGTCCAAGTCAATGTCCAGGCCCAGGTCCTTGAATGCGGAAATCAGCTCCTCCAAGTCCACTTTGCCTGCAATAGGTTTAATTTATAAAACCTAATCTAATTAAGGGGGAGTAATAACCCACCATCACGGTTTTTGTCTAGGTGCGAGAACTGCAGGACCAAGTTCTTCTCATGCTCCCGCACGTAATGCAGGAACTCGGCGAAGCCCACGTTGCCACTCTGATCCTTGTCCGACTGCTGGAGGAATTTCTGTAAAGCAAAATAAGGACGGAATATTACTGATTTGATTTTCATGGCCCAAAGTAATTGCGGAATATTACTGATACACTCCCGGAATATTACTGGAAATTAGTGTCACACGCTTGCGGGCTTGTAGCATAATGCCTCTGACTATAGTATCGACCTGAATCGTGAAAACAAATCAATTTCCCGTATCACGAGGGCTTCACCAGCGGAAACCATAAAAATCTCCTCAGTCGTCTGCACATTAACCCTCTGTATACCAGCTAATCCAATTCTGATTGCTTCTCGAACATGTCGAAGGACTTGTTGCATGTCATTTCACAATCTGATGATTTGTACAGGATAAATGAATAAATTGGGGACTCTACTAGAAGTATTTTGTTAATAAAAAATCCATAAATATAATCTTCCATTGCTTAGGAAAATCTCTACAGCTCTATATCTGTTTAAAATAGCCTAACACACTTTTACCTTATGGTTTTTAGCTTCATGAACAATAATTACTAGTTTGTTTTGTCTAAAATGTAAATAAAGCAGCTATTTATACCACAAACCAAATCTGCTAGTCAACCAAAACATTTCTACGGGCAAAAACAGTGTGCTGGTCTAAAAATAGATTTTTTTCTCCTTTTTGGCAAACCACATTTCTCTTGATTTAATGAGCCCTTTTTTGGCAAGTACAGATATGACACACTGATATGAGGGTTAAGCTGCCCAGGGTCAGCTGCCGTGCCAAATGCTTTGCCCAGATCAGGGCGTTCTAATGAATGTACATTGTATAATTTAAGATTCTCAGATACATTCTCTACCCAAGGCCGCATATTATTGATCTCTACCGTTGTACGTTTGCTAAATATTCTTTAAGAAATAACAAAGGCATTGCAGTTCCCTGAGAGAATGGCGAGCACCGGGAACGGAATCAACATGTTGATGAAAAATTGATTTTCTATTTTCAAGAAGTCGTCGAAATATTCAATGAACAGGAACTCAGTTAGCATTTAAAAAACTAAGTTTCATAAATGTGACCTCCTATAATCCGATTAGACAATACTTTTCTTTTTTACTTTCTAAAATTATAACCAGACATCTTATAATCCCCACTTACCTCCGCGTAAACGCTCGACAATCCGAACTCGTGCAGTGCCGCCGAAAGGTCGTGGATGTCGATCCTGCCATCGCCGTCGCGGTCCAGCTTGTTGAAGATCCGCTCCAGTCGCTCCTCGTCCTCGATGGGGATCTCGGTGGGCAGGATGGAGCCGGAGCTGGCGACCTCGTGCAGGTCATAGGGCAAGGGCGTGGTAGCGAGATGGGCATGCTGGAGGCCGAGTTGATGGCCGTGCTCATGGCTGTTGGCTAGGGTGCGGGCGGAGTAGGTGGCCTGCGCCTGCTGGGCGAAGTTTATGTTCCTAGCCGGATCGGGCGTCAAGTCGATGTCGATGTGGTGCTTCTGGTCCTGCGGCTTCTGATCCTCTGGCTTATAATTCTGCTCCCCTTGATCCTGCTGCTTGCTAACTGCTAAGGATGCGCTGTGTTCGATTCCAACTTGCTTTCTGACCATTCTCCACACTAGTGTTTACAGTTTACCTCGAGTTTTCTAGTCTTCTTTTAACTGGCAGCTGAAGGATTTCTCTGGGTTTGCTCGGTATCGGAGTTTGGATTCTCTGGGGGATTACGTGCTGGCAAAAACTGCTTATGGCCGGCTCATTTTGGTCACCTCGGGGCAATTAAGTGGAAAACTCGATGGCCTGAAAGATGGATTATGGATGGTAAACATTAGTTTTTAATGTTATGTCTGGACGAAAGATAAATAAACAAGCCTAGCAGCGTATCGGGTTTCGCCCGCGATGAAGTCATCCTGGGTTGGTTGGAAAATATGTGCTTGATAGATATGTGGGTGCCATTTCTCTGGACTCTCAAAGTAGACCATTGATTTTCGCTGCCAATTTGAAGGCCAACGAATTTCCGGAAAACCTTGAAAATTCCACAGCCTCACGCACACGCACGCACATGTCTCCAAAAGTGAAGAGGGCGGTGGAAAGGGAAAAGGGAGAGTTTCCCCAGCCACTCGAACTTTCTACTTTCAAGCGAGGCTTAAAACGGGCAATTCTCACTTTCTCGTGGCTTTTTCTCAATTCTCGCCGCCTTTCTCAGCGTTTCTCCAGCCGGGTGTGACTCAAATTTCACGCGAAACGCTGGCGCATTGTTGCCAATTTGGCAAAAATTATTCTGCACTCGATTTTCATACACACACACACACGCACACTCAGACGAATGGAATGTGGATATGCAAAAGAAAGTGATGAAAGTTTAACGGCATTGCCTCTGTTCTCATGGCCATTACCTACTGATCGGGATCTATGGACAGGTTAGTCTGACTTTATGCTATTTCTGTGGCTTTATGGCTTAAAGCAGAATCACACAGAACTCTTTAATTTAAGCGAAATCGAATTTGGGTTTAACAGTGTGACCACGAATGTTTATCTAGATATACTTCTTCGGGTCCTAGGAATATCTTAAATTATACCACGAAAGGGGGTTCATGTCTTTGCTAAGCCAGTCCTCAAATTCGTGTATCTGGTCACACCAAATATTTTAAATTAGTGATTCGTTGAAATAAATTTACTAATATCCTAATTTCTTAGAGCACATCCCTGAAAAATGATAGATCCTTTGATAATCTTCCTTCAAGCTATTCTAGCGTGCCTTTTGGATTGAAGATAGTTCCCAAAGTGTGGGGATCCCATTTCAAATACTTCCTTTTCCTTACAATTTCCCGCCAAAAATATATTTTAGCTGCTGTGTGGATATATTTGATCAATTTTTAAGTTGTTTCAAATTTATAACAACTTTTAGAAACTCCATTGTAGACCAACCCATCAACAAAGCCAGCCGCTACACTTGTTAACATAATATGTATTTTCTCATCTCGCCTCCCTCAGAATCCTGGTATATATTTTAAGCTAGGTAATTCGTTAAGTAGATCTATACAAAATTGGTCTAAACTGTGGAAATAAACGGAAATAGTTGCACGGTATGTAAGTTGGGAGCTTGCCGGTAGTTGGGGGAATACATATTCAGTTAGTTACATTAAATGCGCGCACAACAGCCTCGGCCTGACATCAAGACACATAACAAAGGAGACACAACAAACTGAATGGAATACAAAATACAATCGGTTCGGATTTTCGGTTTCGGTTTCTACTTCATCAACAGGTCCCAGGCGTCATCCTCGGCGGTGGCTTTGTTTCCCGATGAAGAAGCGGTGGCCGCCTTGGGCTTGACATTCTTCACGTCCAGGTTCTCGAAGCCCTCGCTCAGCTTTTGCGAAGTGTCCTGCAGCTTCATGTTGCGGCGGGCAGTCGATCCGCCGGACGGAGCATTCTGGTAGGAGGTCTCCGCGCTCTGGTAGTTCGATGCCTCGAAGCCGGACCAATCGTCGTCGCGGGTGAGGCCGGCGGTGGCGGTGCCGCTACTGCTGCTCAACTGATTGTGGTACGAACTGGAGCTGGTCAGGTGTGTCTTGTTGTTGGCGTTGTCCTGCCAACCGCCCCAGTCGCTGTCGCTAACGCCACTCTGCTGGCCCAAACCGCCGGTCAGATTGCCGCCCACCGAATTGGAGCGCTGATAGGCGCTGTCATCGAAGTTGGGATCGTTGTATCCTCCTTGGGGCGACGAAATGTTGCTGCCCGCCAAATTGTTCCATCCTCGCTTGCCTATATCAGTGACCTGTGGTTGAATATGAAATGGAGCAAGGATATTAGTTTTAGACCAGGATCAAGGCGGAAGCTTCCACAACTACAGACCTTGCAGGCTACATCAGTAACTCCGCTCTGAACGGAATCTAGCAAAGTTCCTTCTTTAATCTACAACAAAAAACAAGCAAATACATAAATCAAGCAAATAAAGTAAAATAATTAAACAAACAAATAATACAATATTGGGAATGTACTTCTCAGATTTTGTTCTCTTTAAATTACAAATTGGTAGTTATACGTACTATAGTTACATTTACAGTCAAATTTTTAAAGTTTAATCTAATAATTTTAAAATAAAACCATAAATAAAATAATTTATTTTTGAAAAAAACAATGTTTGTGGTTATACAAGCTAATATACTAATTCGATTTAATGCGAGACCTAATTTACTGAATACCAAAAATCATTAAAATATATTTTAAAAGTACTCAATACAATATACAAAGAAATTATATATATAATGATATTTAAGGAAATACAAATAAAAGTGAACAAAATCCGATAAAATATGCAAAAAAGGGATCAAATACAAATATACAATAAGCATTTATAGAACTCACCTTCGTTGAGGCCAAATTGACTGTGGTGACGGCCTTCTCCTTAGCGGTGTTGGCCAACTTGGAGGCGTTGGTGGAGAAAAGGCTCCAGCCAGAGGCCAAAGTGGATAGTGTCGAGTCGAGGATCTCCTGAGATTGCGTTTTCGGTGGGGGTTCGCGTGTGAACCCGAAACCTGCATACTTTCCGCCCTGACTCGGTGGCAAGTGACTGGAAATGTGAATAAAACTAAACATTTGCAAAAAAAGGGGTACATGGTATAATTCCTACTCTGGCCTGGAGGCATTCTCCACTTGGCGTTTGCTAAAGAACTCCTCTTTCTGGTCCTTAAACTCCTGCGTTTGGTACTGCTGATAGCCTCCAGTTTCGCCGCCTCCTCCATTTTGATATCCTCCATTGCCGCCATAACCTGTTGCACTGGGTCGCGATTGGGAGCTGCTGCTGCTGGAACCTCCTCCGCTATAGCTATTGGAGCTGGCCACTCGTTGCTCCGCCTCCTTAAGATCCCAGCTCTTGCCTTGGGCCAAAGTGGCTATCTTATCGCGGTAGAGGGCCGCCGCCTTGGAATTATACCGCTGGGTGATGGGCGCCCGATCGTTCCAGTCAGCCTGATCCTCAAGGAACTCGCGGGCATTGCGATTGCCGCCCGCCTTCATCTTCTCCAGCTCGATGTCCTTCCACTTGTCCATGGTGACGGAACGCACGAAGGACAGATGGACGCCCAGGCTGCGATGCTTGCCGGAGCACTCCAGGCAGATCCAGATGCCATAGGTCACGGAAACCCACTGGGGATTGTGAGTTCCGCACTCAAAGCATTTCTGGGGATTCCAAGGAAAAGAAGAGGAAACTTTAAGATTTGCCAGAGAAATATGTGACTAGTAGCAAACCCACCGAGTTCTCATCCTGGGGCTTTAGCTCCTGGAGCACCCTTCGCGTCCTGGGACTCGCCATGGCAACTGGTTTCTATGGTTTCCTACGCCTGCCCTTTGTCTAGTGGATTTCCCAACAACTGGCGTTCAGTTTCCGCAGCTGATAAAACCAAGTTGCTAATGGGCGATTTGCTGACGCTGGCGCTGATTTCGGTGCAATCTCGGCAGCAAAGTGCGGTTCTAAGCTCCCACGACGGCTTAAGAGCATTTAAAGTCCACGGAACGCGACAAACACTTGTTTAAACACATTTAGTTGGTTTGCAATTTTTTTGAAACAGCTGAGACGCTTAGAAATAATGGCAAATTGGCAAAAAAAAATGTTAAGCGTGTCCCAATTGGAATGGGTTTGCAGTGTGACCAGGGCGTAGTGAGGTGATAAGGACAGAGGAGAGTGAGTCTGCGGTCACTCTGTGGGATATCGATATATCGATAGTTTTAGAGGTAAGGGCGGACTATTTGAATTTTTAAAGAAATTTGTCTGTTCTTCTTTATGATCATGTTTTTATGGCAGTTCGAAAAATCAATTATGTGAAGTAAGTATTGTAATATAAAAGCTAATTTATAGATTAAAAAGTTTTTAACATTCTCCGCCTTAAACATTTTATAAATTGTTTCTTATATCTCAACAGTTAGTTTGTAACTATATTTGGTTAAAACAAACTTTTATTTGACTTTATAAAATACAATTATGTTTATTGTGTATCAAATTGCAACGATCTAAGATTAATTCACTTGTTAGGGTCTTTTATTTTTTATATTAACTAAAGTTCATTTTCAAATCAACAAACAATTTTAATTTATTTAATATCTATATCTTAGAAAAGTGTCTATCATTTTTGAAACGAAATAAGTAGTATAATGTTATTTAAGCAAGGAAAACAAATAACTAAATTAAGCAAGGTCCACAAAATGGAATTTTTAACGTATCAAACATAATCAAAATCAGCCCGCCATATACTTTCTCAACATTGCAGAAAAAATCTCTCTCCGCTCTCCAGCAAATTCAATTAACCTTACGCGATGGCATCGCCTTTGTTTCGAGCACACCAAAACACTCCAACAAATTATACATTATCACGCTGATCTGATTTCCAGATCGATCGGCAGTCTTCATGTGCCGTCCACTGGCGACTGGAGATGCAGCTCCGATTTCGCCGAGTCATCCCGAAAAAGTTAATAAAAACAGCGATTTATCACACTCGTAACAGTAATCAATCTCCTACCGATTTGGATACGAATTCTGGGGTATCGAATCCCGGACAGGGGAAATTACTTACATGAACGACTTCAATGCAAACAGACCGCAGGTGGGAATGCCACCAAAGATGAAAAAGGGAGCCGGGAAATCCCAATTAATAGATTTAGGCGCCGTTCGAAAGGTATTTCCGTGGACTTTTCTATTTTCCAGCCCCACAAAAATATATAAAAGGTAAGTGACCACACACGACCACACGCACATAATTCAATGCCATTGGATTAGCATATAATTATGCACAATATTTCTGCAGATCGGCTGCCTGCCCACCGCTAATTCCCTTTCAATTTCCAAACTCGCGCATTTATTTAAGTCAGCCTCTTGGGATCTCTGCCTTTATAATTGGAGTCGCACGCCCAGTGGGGGCGTGGCGGGTACGAGCATATAATTGCCGCGGCGACCGGAGGATGTGTTGAATTGAAAAGCCTGCCGGGTAATCCGATCGATCGATCCTGGTCTGCGGGTCCGCAGTTAAGTTACGACTCCTGCCCGCTAAGTGAGCCGGGCGTTCCTGGCTGGGCACTCGCTCGACGCTTTCAACAACTACTTGTCCTGCTGCCGGAGCACTCTAAAAAATATTGGGGTTTATTCGAAAAATAAAGAGATATATTTTTTAACAGAACTCTAATCTAACAAAATTTATTTGAATTATTTATATTTGACATTTCAGATTTTCTTAGATTATGAATAGTATATGTTTTTAGAACTCTAAGCTAAGGATTAAAACTTGTTTAAATGAAGGATATTACTATTAAATTTCAAGTTTTAAATTCCTTACTAAGTTAGTTGCATTCATTAATAACATATTCTAGGTAAACCAGATAAGAACTGTCAGTTCAAGTTAACCGAGAGTTAAATTGTGTGATTGTTAATGTGAGGTGACAAGCTGTCACTTACAACTTCTAATATGTTAGGATCAGATCATGTATGATACTGAGAAACAAATTTTTCCTAAGACGGCAATTTAACTCAATGACAAAGGTTAACAGGACATTGAAAAATCGGTCCTTAGAGTAATATTTTTATGAGATACAGTGGCTAAGAAACTTTTTAACCTTTCATGATACTACTGCCTTTATAATTTTTTGAGTGTGTTCCGCTGGTGGTCTTATCAGAAGCCGTGGAGTACTGCCCGATCTGCCAGAAATGGCATTGCTGCGCATCCATTATCGGCTCTGTCACTGCTCTTGCTCGGCGTGGCCACGCCCCCAAAAGCGCCACTGGGCATTTTGCACTCCGTTGAGGTCCGCTGAGGTCCTGAGTTCGGCTCCCAAAGTCCGACTCCGATTTGGGGTTGGGAGTACTGAGTTATTGTATGGATACGATCAAATTATAGGCTTAGGCTTGCATTAAACTCGCATAGACGTCGTCGGTTGGCCCAAAACTAAAGGTGGGTTCGAGGGTTCTGGAGAGGATGCGCATTTTATCATCGGGGCATCCGGTCCCTCCGCTGGTTAATTTTCAACTTTCCTGGTGCCTCGAGCCCCCTGCAACTTGTCAACACGTGCAAAACAATGCTCGAATCGTATTCGCATTCGCATTTGCATTGGGTTTCCCATTCCCAATAACGTGCAAATGAATTTGAATTTATGCAAATGAGCAGACTGTTCGCACGCCGCAGCCACAAAGTCTGCGCAGGCACAGGTGATCTCCCTGTGCCAAAGAGTCCACATCCAAAAAGGAAAAACGCTGGCGAAATAAAATAAAATCGTTCGAAATTGCACCAATTAAGGGGAAATGTATGGGTTAGCCTTTGGATGGAGAGAAGAGTGCACCCCCCTCAGATGCAGATTGGTCTGCATTTATCAGCGATATTAAAGCGTTAAGTGAATTACTTATTCTCCTGGTCGCAGCAATGCGTTACCTTTCATGTCCTGCTGTCGGGCATCCAATATCCCCTCCAATAGCCCCCCCTTTTTTTTCCGAGTTGTCAATGCCCGATGTCGATGGCCGCGATCTTGCATGCGACAATTATATGGGCCCTGTGTTGTGTGCGACGCCAGTTTGGCTCCCGATCCCATGGCCAAAAGCGGCAACTCTCTCAAAGAGGGCCAAAATAGGAACGGGGTGGACCAGGGGTGTCCAGGACTAGTGATCGGCTACCGGAGACGCAAGACTTGGGCCATTCCTGGTGCCGCTCCTCGCCGCTGATCGATTCGGACCCAATCGATCGGCAGCATCATGCAACCGCGCACAGCCTTCAGCTTCAGTTGGGACTCGAGATCGAACAGCAGAGGCGGATCCAAGGGGGTTTTTGGGGGGTTCAAGTAACCCTAACCATCCTTAAGAGTTTTTCAAAGGGCTGATTTCTCAATGTAAGGCTTTAAGGGAAACAGTCAAAGTGTGGAAGTGTTTATCTCCAGACTCATTATAGCTCAACTTTTTCTAAAAGATTACAAACTTGAACCTTAATATAAGATTGAAAAATTAGCCATTAGATTAGCCATTTTCTGAGCCTTTGTAAGTGTGCTTGAACTAAACAACTGAAAATGAATTATTACCTCAAAAATTTTGAGTCTAATTACAAAATCAGAAATTCGAATATTTTAAAAAATGCTTTACATTCAAGTCGTTAAGAAGTATTTAATTGAAATAAAAATGTGTTACTCCTTTACAACTTTTACTAACTAAATAGTTAGTTACTTATAGTTTAAAAAATCGTTTTAAAAGCTTGAGATTTGTTTAACAACTTGTTGTATTTCAACCTACTTATCTCAATTATTTTAAAGTTATGTGTATAAAATACCTCCTAAAAACCCTCCTTTGTTTAGCCCCTGAACTCCAATCTTCAACCCAGTGCCATTCCTGCTCCTTAGCTTAACAAATCGTGCCAAATAACACAACATAATGACAACAAAGCAGACGACGAGTCCGCAGACGTTGTCCACTTGGCTGCCTTTTGGCCGGGAGTTGGGAGTTGGGAACTGCAAGTCGGTGATTGCCATTTCAAGATTTTGCCACTCACACCAGCACAGCGTGGGGATGGCGAAAATTAAGAGATATTTATAATAAGCACGAAAACCACTTAATACTAACGCCTTTGGCAATTAACAGGTACAGGCAACAGGCGACGGCTGAAACAGCGGCCAGGATGCAATCGGAACTCTCGGATGATATGCAGTCCAGTTTCGATTCGGTTCGGTTAGGAGTTCCATTCAGAGATACTGGGTATAGAGTTCCCCATTGAAAGCTGGAACGATACATGACCCCAAAGCGCCACATTTGGAAAAGGAAAACTATTTGAAGTTCCTTATATAGGTATAAGATTTGCTGAGATATAAGTGGAGACGATACTCAAAGACTCTAAGAAAGCTCTAAAGTACTAATTAAATATTGGAATTGACTAGTGCAAATATGGTTGAATATATGGTATATATTTTTAACTACGTTGAATTTGTGTTTTTATATAAAAATGTAAATATCTAAGGATCATTAAAATTTCTTATAAATATTTTATTGCTCATAAGATATTCATTCATCCAGTTCCTGAAAATGTTATAGATTAAGTCAGTAATTTGGTCATTGAATCAGAACCTTAATATTTGAACTGCTCTCCAGACTAATTAATATATTTAATTTTAAAAAACTCAAGAGGCATTTACTAAAAGTGCAAACTTCTAAAAATATACCTAGACCATTCATCTCACTGCATTCAATCCCTGTCTTGTGTGTCAATTTAATGGCGCCTTGATGACAAGATGAATCTTTTTCTCTGTCGATACCACACCACCACCATTGTAATCGGCTCCTGTCAAATTGATTTTTAATTAAATTTTTTCCGGTGTAGCCCTTTCTGGTGGCGCAATCCGTTTCGTCGACTCATTGAAAGCCGCAGGTAACCGGGTTCCGAATGGAAATTCGGGGCATTAATTGTTTCGCATTCTCTTGGCAGGCAGGCGTCTTTCTTTCTTTCATCACCGATCGACGCTGGAGTTGACGCCTTCGGTGGCTCATTACAATCCGAACAATCAATAATGGATAGATGGTAAAATGTTAAAACATCAGTTGGCGCATAGTTCGATTGATTCTCACCGAACAGCGATCACCGATCACCGATCAACGATCAGCGATCTCCAATTCCCCGTTGAAATGAATAACTGTTTCGGGTGCTACCCGGGGATCTCTTGAGCGAACGATTATGGCAGTGGTTTTCTGATTTGACAGGCGTTAAATTAAAATTTAATTCGGCCATCTATATAATTATAGTGATCCATCCGAGCATACACATTGACGACAAAAACGAGGACGGCGACGACTCGGCAGCGCATGTAATTAAAGCCACATTAATCACCCGGCTTCAGGAATGGATCCCCCCCGTATACCCAAGATCTCTCCAGCGATCCCAAACCCATCTTGCCAGGTACTTGAGTTCGAGCCTCTGAGCTGGAGCCTGTGCCACTGCCTCTGTGTCTGCTTTTCACTTTGCTTTTGGTAGCCACAAAATTGTCAGATTTGTCCACTTGAGTTATTTTCGAAAAGTCTCTTTTGAGTTCCCTGCCCATTCCCCCCTCCCCCTGGTTATCCACGGGTGTCAGAGGGTGTCATCTTCTGAATTCCCAAACCAATTATACGAAACTCGTGAGAACTTATCGCACGCATTTATGATCGTTTCGATTTTATTTGTACTCAGCACGCGGTTAGAAACGGTGCTATAAAACTGAATAAATTAAGTAAAAATTGCACTATATTCTCGATTTAAAGCGATAGGAAAAATGGTCACTCGGCGTCGTGCTCCACGTTGATTACCTCCTCCTCGTCCTCCTCCTCCTCCTCATCCGACTGATCCTGATTCCGAACAGCACCTGGTTGGTGGGCCAGATTAATGGGCGTGCCCATATATTTGGCTATATACTGGCGGGCAAAACTGAGGGCAAAGGCCGCCGCCGAAGCCGAGGGCAAGGTCATGGGCAAAGCTCGGAAGGCGCTGTTCTCACCGCCCATTGATAATGGAACTGATGCTGTGGGTGAGGCAGTTGGCGCCACCACTGGAGGTGGCTCTACCATGTGGTGGCCGCTGTTCCCCAAGGTGCTGCTCGTGTTGATCCCGGTGATTCCTGTGTTCCCTGTGTTCCCGGTGATCCCTGTGACCCCTGTAATCCCTGTCATCCCTGGATTCCCGTATGGATATGGCTGCTTCTGCTGGCCACATTCGACAGCTGGAACTGCAGATGGAGCTGCAGGCGGAACTGCAGTTGGAGCTGGGGCCACCGGACTGGGTGAGCTCGAGGTCGAGGGCGAGTCGCGCTGCTTGAGCAAGTTGACCCGCTGGTGGCGCCGCCATTTCGCTCGTCTGTTGGAAAACCAAACCTGGTTGATCAATCGGTGAAGAGACAATTTGTTAGTCGATAAAAAGAAGAGCCGGGGGTTCGGAGTAGCTAGCTCCGGGTGTCGTGGTTAGTAGGGTGTAGGGATGTACATGTGTGTGTCTTCGATTCGGGAGGTTGGTATACCAAAAATAAGGGGGGTGTTGTACACTCACCTGCACCCTGGCTTCGCTCAAGGCCGTTCGACCTGCCAGTTTTTCGCGGGTGCTTACACATGGGTAGTGCGACTTGTCGAACTCCTTCTCCAGCTCGTCCAGCTGCTCCGGACTGAAGGTGGTGCGATTCCTTCGGAACTTCGGCTGGTCGCTGTCCGACTCGCTGTCCTCGCCCTCGATGTCTGGGAGAAATAGATATTATCATTAACATATTTTTAACAGCCTTAATAATATCAATATAATAATAAGCTAAGATCATTAAAGCCTTATAAAGTATGCTTGGTTTTTGACTGTGACGGGATTATTTAAGAAGATTCGTCTCTGAACCAATATTCAGAGAGTGTTGTTCTAATGTATACAATTCATTTCAGCGATTTTCCCTAAACGTTGGGATACTAAATTTCCTTCACTCACCTATCATCCGGTTGGCATCTGCATCCGGGGAACGACTATCCCGGCTCCCCGAGTCCGGAGAAAGGGCCGGCAGGGAGAGGCGTCCACTGCCCGCACTGCTGTCTCCACAGGCACTGCCACTATTTGTATTGTTTCCATTCCCGTTGCTGTTGCTGTGGGTGGTGTTGCTGTTGCTGCTGTTGGGATTTGAGCTCATGTTGCCATCACTGCCGTAACTGCTGCCACTTCCTCCGGGCTGCAGTGGTCCACCAGGTCCGGCGGTCAGGGGAACGGCTCCCCAGAGAGGATGATGCGTTGGCCAGGTGGGAAAACTGGTGTAGGGATGCGGATGCGTGGGATGAATGGCATAGCCGTAACTCGCCGCCCGGGCAAACTCGGCAGCCGCCCTTTCCGCCGCCCGATTCCGCAATATTCTATTGATGCTGCTCACCGAGGGAGCTGTGGCATTAGTGCAGACACCTGGAGATCAGGTAAAGGGTTTTAGAAACATTTAACATAATTGTCGTTGTCCGTCATCATATCAAGTTCGAAAGTTCTTTGGTAAAGTCAAGACTCATAAATATAAGGTAGCCTATAAAAACCAAGATCTAATGTTCTCATTTTTAAAACTTGTCTGCTCACTTAACCAAGAAGAAACGATCTTAAAATCAATATGAAATGACTCTCAAGATAAATTAATCTTGAAATAGAGATGCACAAAATCTTGATTTTATTTTTCGAGACGAAAGTAGTCTATCTAAGAACTTGAGTTTGGAACGGACTTAGCTCAACTTTAAGATCGAGAGAATGGGGTTTTTCTATGTGTAGGTACTGTTCTATTGTTTGCAATAATATCCAAAATTACTTATTACTTCATCAACAGTTCGTATTAGTTGATAAAGACAAACTTAAAAGGAGCAGTCGCTGACTTGGATATGTTGGATTTCCATTGATGATTATGTTCCCTACACCGGATGCTGGGCATCATGACCTGCTGGTGACCCCGAAATGAGCTGGAGATTGACTGTAATGAGAGTACCGATTGGGATCTCGCCGTGTGTGTGTTCGTGCGTCTCATGCGAGAGATGGCTATCGGAACGATTCATTGCACCGAGCGATGCGAACTGACCACAATCCTCAGACTCAGTCTCCAGTCCAGTGTCCAGTGTCCACTCTCCACTGACCATATCCACTGCCCACGGGCAACTGGCAACTGTCAACTGGTTGCTGCCGAGTGGACTACTTACTGCCTCCTATTCTGTCCGCGATTATCTCGCAACTCCTGAGGAGGGAACCCAAAATGAGTGACACAAATGTGAGCACATTTACATATCAATCGGACTGGCAGCGGATGTTCATAAATTAGCCAATCGATAAATCTAAATCTGCCGCGGTGGAACAATATATATAGTATCCTCCCGATTCTTACAACATTAAATGAGCCCTCGGCGGGCATTCGCATTACGAGCACCATAAACACATCAATCCCAGCCCGCGATGCCCGATGCTGATGGCTGCTCTTTCAGTTCCTCCTGTCAATCTGATACTTAAGAAGCTGAAGGAAGGAACTCAGGAACTCTGGAACCTGAGTAACTGGAGGATCTAAAGATCTGGGGAGCTGAAGAAGCGCGTAAGCAACTTTGGAACCAGAAGACACAGACGCTTGTCGCGACCGTTGTCATTTGTTGGGCAATTTCGCTTTCGGGGGTTCCCTGTCAGTTAATTAGCCCAGCTACTCGCATTGTGTCTCTCCCTATTCCATATCACTATACCCACTCCATAACAGAAGTCCTGCCCCATTGATCGGCATCGATACCCCCTGGACATATTCTTATTGTTCGCCTACCTTCGGTGATCAGTCGCTCGCGGATTTCCCACGCGAAGATCGTTGGATTCTCGCGCTTGTATTGCTCGATCTTGGAGACCACAGTCGGGGTGGCCACCTTGGGCTTGGAGCCGCCAATTAGGCCAGGTGGTCGCAGGGTGCCTGCAAGATTGAGAAATTGTGAGTTAGAGATTTAAGGATCATATCATAGCAAAAGATAATTCATAGTTTAAAGATTGGTCGGTATAACTCCTTTTTAATGCAATATAACCCCATTGTCATATAAATTTCATTCCTAATCTTATGAATGAATATATAATGGTATGAGAATTCGTTATAATGCTCTAAAGGTGTATTAAAAATGTATGTATTCAGAAAGGTGACGGTATTTATGTTTAAAGTAACTAAGAGTACCTAATCATTTGTTATATTTGATTAAGTATATGTTATTAAAGTGATGTTAACAAGCCTATAATGGAAATCAGTTTAATATTTGGTGAGTTAGGAACTTGAAATATTTTGGTTTTAAAATTAAACAACAAATGCCTTAGCTCAGAACTTACATAATTAAAAATCATACTAATTTATGTATAATCACAGACCGTTTTTGTTTCAAAAATGAAAAATGTTCATAATTAGATAAAATTAACTTTTGAACCCCGAAATCTGTTTCTGACTGAGGCGTGGCCCTGTGGCTTTTTAGATTTCAGTAGTAGTATACCCCATCCCAGTTGTGCAATCAATTTGGCCTTTTTCCTATTGCCAGCTACTTGGATGCCTTGGGACCTCGTGTATTGTGCGACTCGCATAATTTTCACATTGTTCAAAGCTGGCGTGCCCGTGTGGGCGTTTCGAACAGGTCAAAAGCCCTCCGGCGGCAGTGCATTGTGTGGCACTACGGGCTTCCAGATACCAGATACCAGATACTATACTATAGATGCCAGATGCCAAATGGCAGATACCTGCTACCTGTTGACTGCCTGCTCCGAGCCACTAACTAACTAGACAATTAAGCCAGCAGCCGGCGTCCATTCAGCGGAGCGCTAATTTGAATATTTGACAACATCAGCGGCCTGAGACTCCAAGTCACAGAGTTTCAGAGTCACAGAGTTACAGAGTCACCGAGTCACAAAGTCGGCTCAAATGATAATTCGTCGGAAGCAGTTGACAGGCGCGCGCGTTTATCTTGTAAATTGAGCTCTGTCGCTGAGTTACACCCAGAGAAAAAATCCCAAAGATATCGCTTCAAATCACCAGATTAGCTGGCTCATTCGGACATGTGCCATTAATTTAATTTCTAGTGGCGAAAACATTATTATCTTTAGATGTTAATTAGCATACTAATTTATTTCGAATTTATTACACTTCCAAGCCGATTTTGTTTTCTCTGCACTCGGTTGCCTTAAATTAATGAATGGGCACACATGTACTTGTACATTTGTTTTCTAGCTTTTTGTGCGCAAAACGGAAATTATTTACACAATTTAAATTGACTTGAATGGGAATGAATGGCATCCACCCAGATCGGATGGTGAGATTCGAAGTTACACTAATGAATATTTGTGAATGGGCAGATTTATTTAGCGTAGCTTTTTCTGACACACTAAACTGGCTGGTGATAAAAAAGCACTTATGTTGTAGGTTGCTATTCAACATACGTTTCTCTGTTTTATACTTTATAAATCAAAACCTCAAGTAAAAGTCTGAATTAGGTTTATAAAATGAATATCTAAAATAAATCATTTTTATCATGATTTTTTTAGAGCTTATCTTTAAGATTAACTTATAAAGGTACTATTTTTTTCAAAAGTTACCTTACTAATTGTTAAGCTATAATTTAAGAAATTATTTGCATAGTATTTTTAATTGTTTTAAGTTTTAGGAAACTAAAAAATTGTGCATCATTAATTTTATAATGTTTATAAAGCTTAAAATATTTATATATTTTATAATTTCTTGATGTTGATTACACGTTTTATTGTTAAAATAAAATGTTGCCATCAAGCATTTGGGCTAAAAGTGATGTAAAGTCTGTGTTTCCGGCTCAGAATGCAAGCTTGCAATTGAAATTAGCCAGTTTGAGTGGAGAAGGTGGCAAATCGAGAATGACATGGCTGGGAGTCGAACCCACAGGTGGCAACAGGTGTGCGGCTGCTGCAGACTTCCTCGGGGGAAAGGGGGGTAAAAGGTGCTTAAAAAGGGGGTAAAGGAAGAAGAGGGGGTGTCCAGGTGCAGGTGGGAGCGATGGCGATTGCCAATCGATTTGTCGTGTTTACGTGACCCCACAACGGAGCCGTGCAAATCGATTGGGACGCTTGGGGACACATGGCGATTGCATTTGGGGCGCGTGTTTCGTGGTTCCGCGTTATGCCGCTGATTGCATTGGTCAGGGTGGTCTAGACTTCCACCTCCCCCCAAATCTTAGCTCTTCTACCTTATAATAACCCAAGAACTTACCCAGCAGCTTGGAGACAGCTCCTTGCTGGGATAGCATATGCTGGGCCAGATCATATCCTCGAAGGCCAAAGCGGGATAGCTCCATAAGTCTGTGTTGGGAGGCCAGGGCGTTGAGATTTGTGGCCGCCGCCGCTGCCGCCGCCCCCGCAGCCCCTGGTCCCGCTGCTGCACTGCCTCCGCAGAAGAGGCCGCCCAGCGCCGGAGCAGGGGGTGTCACCTGGGTCAGGATGGGCGTGGAGGGGCTCAGACTGTGCGGCTGGGCGAGGACTGAAATGGAAGGGTAACAAATCATTAGTACACTGGGAAAACTGTAAAGGCTTAGGAAGCTAAAAGTAAAGGCGTGAATGTGAAAAATAATTCCAGATTAAAACATCGAACTTAAAAACAGTATTTGCTTAAGAGCTAAACTTAAGGAAGCTTCATATGCTTAAAAAACATATAAGACCTTACAGTTTGATCTAAGATTCAGTTATTAATTAAATCATTGCACTTTTAAAATCATCACCATTTACTTAAAAAAAATATTATATTTGTTTTTAAACAAATTTTAAATAATTGTAAGAATTTAACCTCTGTTTTTGCCTTTAATCGTCCTAAGCTAAGACTTTAAACTAAATTTAAAATTTAAAATAAAGAGTTATTTAAGAACTAAAGAGCTTTCAAAATATTTGATTCCAAAGTACTTCAATCATTTGTTAATTATTCATTTTTTGTATTTTAAGTTACCCTCTGTATGTTAATTTAATAAATATATTATAAGGAAACATTGATTTTACACTTTCCCTTTGTAAAATATATTTTTCCAAGTGCAGGGTCGCAAAATCATTAAACGTCAATTGGAATTTAAACGAAGCTGTTGCCGGCATTCCGCGCGTGACACAGAAACACCAAGAAATTTGTAGCCCGATCATCGACTGGGGCCTCGACGATTTGGGGGGAACTGGAACTGGGACAACTGGGATGGCTGGACAAATTTCGGTGTGTTTTTGATCGACGACGTCAAAGTCGAAGAGTCAGAGTCAACCCAAGGAGCCGATCATGGGGGGCTCCTCCGTCCAGTGGCGGAAGTGTCAACGTTTATGGGCATAATGGACGCGGTGTGGTCCATTACCGCTGACACTGACTGCTGATTCCAGTCGGAATTTATGAAATTCTCGCTGGCAATTTGTTGGACCTGGATCTCTGGATCTTTGGATTGGAATCGGAATCGGAATGGGAATGGGAATGAGACGGAGATCGCTTGTCAGCGTCTTGGCAGCAATTGGCCATTCCTCGGATGTAGAAGCTTTTATGTTCATTTTGACATTTTATCTGATCGCGAGAACTGCACACATTTTAACACCTCTTTTTTGGTGCGATCAGGCTCCGTGTGTGGCGACGGCATGCCACTTCGATTGGGGATCGGGTATCGGGGATAGGCCAACAGGAATCGGTTATGGGGATCTCCTCCAGCTTCTTGGCTAATTAAACCCCATGCAGATGGGACCAAGACCATCCGGGCTCACTCCATTTAAAAGTGGCCGCCGCAATTTGTTGCACTCGCATGTTGCGCCAATTGTTGTGGCCATGGTTATGGCCATGCTTGATTTATGCCGCCGCAACAGCCGGCCAACTTGAATGTCAACAGCACTGAGTGCCTCCGGATTGCCATCGCCATCGCCATCGCCGTTGCCCCAGTCCCCTATCTTGGAGACCCAGTCCCAGTTGCAGTCCAGATTCTATGGTAAAGTCGGTTCGGGATCGACCGATGATTTACTACGCAATGCGACAGCTCCGACTGCTCCGCGATGCGCCTCAGTCAATTGCAAAAGCGGCTTAAATCGCTGGAACCACGGCCCAAAACCCGAACCTTTCGGCTGCCCCTCGATCCTCTGCACCGAAAAAAATCATGGAGCTATGGTTTTAATTTGAAATTTCCTCGGTCGAAATTCGTTATAACTTTACTTGATATATCATACTTTTTTAAAGAACTCTTAGTTATAAAAGAAATTTAAAGATTATTTTAGAAGCTTTTGCCAGTTCATGATTTGGTATCATATCGTTTATTCCTTAAAAAAAAGAACCAAGTGATAATCAAACTATCTTAGACTTCTTAGTTCTTTTGTTTTGGGTGTAAACAGGTCGTATAGGCCAATCTTAAAAAATGTAATAATCAGTTATTAGTTGATCTATATAGAAATATGAAACATGATTTTCTTTGATCAAAATATTTTAAAATGATGGAATATAAAAATATTTTATACATTTTGTTGATATTTTCAACCAACCAGGTAACTTTAAATTTAATGATTTTGTAATGTACACATTATTTTTCTTTCTGTACCCGATCGTACGTCACCGTGAGACTTATAACAAGAAGCGATGCCGATCGGACTCGGACTGAAGCTCGAACTCGGGATCGCAGCTCGCCACAAGTGATGATCGCCTCGGAATTCAATTGATAGTTTGATTTATTGCTACCGGTAACTTTTTGCCGCTGCTTGCCCCTTTTGCCCCCTCAATGTGCCCCTTGCCCAGGCACTGCATATAAATTAAAGTTGCTCGCTTTTTATGCGGCTCCTCAACGCATCCTCATACCCATCCTCATCCCGATTCCTAGCCCCTCAACATCATCCTCATCCTTAACCACATCCCCAGCCCCTTCAGTTAGTGCTCGCTGATCTTGTTTGTCGCGCGCAGAGCATTACTCGTCCTCTAAAGCTTCTGGTTTTTACTGCCAGTGCGCATTACTGCGATCTTCGCACATTTTCCTAAGCTCCAAGAATTCCGCTGCGGGGAGATGTGCTCTTACATAAGTCACTCTAATTTTATGCCATCCTTTATTGGATTTTATTGTACGGTTCTGGATTATAGTTAGCTGTTAAAGTGTGCCTAACCAGAGGAATACAAATATGCAAATTGAATTAAAACACGTTAAGCTTTAAAGGAAACCAAATTGTCTTGAATATATTAAGCCTTTTGATGAGTGTTACGTTCTAAAACATTGTTTAAGTGATATTAAAAAACACTTTTCAATTTTCATGAAGAAACTTCAGTCCTTACTTAGCCGAGTTTTTCTAAATAATACAGTTCTTTAAAATAAACCTAATTTACATTTTAATATTATAAGTAATTGATTGTATAATATATTATATATCCTATAGGATATAAAATCTGCTGAACTTTATAAGGTAAAGTGTTTTAAAGTTAGGAACCCTTTATGCGATATGATATTGTTGGGTAATCATTTACAGAGATGACCCACTTAGGTCGGCAGTAACATTACTGTTTCCTTTTTGAGACTTTTTCGTAAAGCCCAAAGAGGTTGTGAAATGATAACCCGGGTTCCTTGGGCGGCAGAACCACCAACTGGCGTGACACACATATGCATAAACGTAACGCAAGGCAAGAGTAACGTAAGGAGTTCGGACCATGTGCATTTTCGAGCCCATCCATACCATACCATACCATACCATACCGAACCCAACCGAGGCACTCTTCAAAATCATTGTGCACACCTTTTATACGCTTGGCTTTCTAAGAATAATGCGAATACACGCACCACGTAACCTGAGACCCCTAAGTATGGTTTCTGCCCTATGCTTAAACTTCAATGTATGCCATGTACCCCTTGGGTCCCCCGAACCCTCCGAACACCCCCTCTGTCTCCGGTTTGGGGTCTCCGTGTCTCTTTTCCAGCGTTTCTCGTCTCACTCTCTACCTCTCTTTTTATAATTATTTATTTATTGTGCAACTTCCAACACCTTCGGAGAGACAAGTCAAAGCTTTGCCCTCCCCATTGCCCCAGAGTCCCCTAGTTTCCATCCGGGACACTGTGTGTATCTTGCAGATACCCGTACATTCGATGGCCGCCGACGTGAACTAATTTTATTTGACAACCCATACTTGTGCAAAACAAATTGCCACTGATGTGCGAAAGACCAAAACAGTTGCCACATTTGTGTGTTGTGTGTTTCTGCTGCTGCTGATGTTGCTGTTGCTGTTGCTGCTGCTGCGTTGCTGTTGCTGTTGTGAAATTTCCAAATCATTGCACTTCTCCAGCAGGCATTTGACTAGTGCCACCAGTTTCTTGTGGCTGGCTTTTGTTTTAAACTGTTTCGGGCCCCCGATTCCGATATCCCTGTCAGTTCACGGAATTCGCCCGAATATTGCGACTCGAATGGAGCGTGCAGCAATAGCAACGTCACAACGGCAACACCAGTACTACAGGCAATATCAGCGGATATCGCAGCAACATCGGCGGTTTCGGGAGCAATATTAGCAGTAAAAACTCAGCGGATTTAGTAGTTATTAAGTAAGGAAGTACACAGAATAAATATAACATAATACTGATCAAAGAAATATCTAAACTACCTCTGACATGTTAGGTTTCCTCCTCAACAATATAAGCAATTAATTTATTATTTAAAGTTGGTTAAAAAAGGATAATAAATTGCATTAATTGGTGTAGAGGATTGGTGAATTAATATTGTAAAGAATTATGATTTGGAAACATATTCTTTCGTTTCCTTTCTTGTTACTGTCGTAGAATAAATAGATCAATCATAGCAATAAAATAGTTTTATGATATCAGAAAAAGGTAAATACCGATTATTATCAAACGAAAAACCAGGATTAAATTGAACCTGAGAACTCCTTTTCTCAAATCTTTAAAAAGAAAGAAAATTTCCTGATAATTCTTTAAAAAGTAGATCTGAATCCCATTTAAGACTGAAGATAATCTATTTATAAATATTTCTTGTCAAACTAAGTAACGATTTTTTGGTTTAAATATGTAGTAATACTAGATAAATAATTTTTTTAAGCTTAGTACCTTTTTGGATCACTCACCTGTGGTTGCTGCCGTGGGCGAGACGGGTGTGATTGCCGACGGCTGACCAACGCCCCCGGCGGAACTGCCCAAAAGTTGCAGATGCGACGGCATTGGCACGCCGGCCATGGGCATGATTGCTCCCGGGGACTCGCAGCTCCCGGGTATCGAAATGCCGGATGATGCTACTGGTATGGAAACTTTATTGGTTGTCCTTGTGGGCCCGGGGGATGTGGTGGTTGCCATGCCACGCTTTTGAGATTTTAGGAACAGCAAAACGGGTGGGATTCAATTAGGGGACTTTTCAATGAACAGGAGGCATTTTATTGAGGCCCTGTTTTTCCGACGGTTTTTTGGGGGACTCTGTGTGTTTTTTTTATTCGCCGCTTTGGATGCCACTCGAAAACGCGCACCGGAACCGCTCGGTTGTGTTGCTGCCGTTGGTGTTGCTAGTTGCTAGTTGGTGGTGTTGCTGCTGTCGCCGCTGTTGCCGCCGTGTTGTTGCTGCTGCTCAACGCTCGCTGACTCGACGCGCACCGCACTTCGCACTCAAACTCAACGCCCGCCGACTCGCTGAATGAGACTGAGCTCAGAGCCACCGGCAGCGCAATATCTTACTTGGCTAAAACTCGGATCGGGTTGCTTTTGCTTTGCTTTTGCTGTGCTGTTGCTGTTGCTGTTGCTGTTGCTGTTGCTGCATTCTGGTTTGCCTGTGGTTGTGGTCGGTTTGCCACTGAGCATTCAGGGGTTTTTTCTTCTTTATTTTCCTGCCTCTGAGTGTGTGTACTTTTGAGCGTCGCCCCATTGAGCGTATTCACTGTGGAAATGAGAGGAATATACATATAAGCCAACGAAACCCCAAACCAAAACCGAAACAGTTGTAAAAGTTCAATAATTAATTACTCGGGCATTCGATTTCAGTGCATTGTTTATCAAAACTTTCAGGCTAGACCTGCGCTACCAGTTGCTTTCGGGCTTTTAATCGACGACCGATTTTGTTTGGTAATACGTGGTGTTTGCGAGTTGGAAAAGTTTTTTATGGACATGCCAACACCAAGAAATGGCTGTCAATCATCGATCACTAAAGTAACACTGAAAATAAAGCGTTTTTTTGGATCTGTTTGACTTAGATTCAATTATTTAAAGGTTATATTTAATGTTGATTAGACCAGAAGAGAATATTTAAGATATTAAGGGACGAAATTTTGGTTACGTAATATTAAAGTTTAAAATCACCTAAGGTATATTTTAACTGATAGAATGCTTTGAGCTATGTTAATACGTTTATATTAAGTCGTATAACTAACACCAGTGAATTATGATCTTTAATACCCCTACCAAAAATGTAATAGTTTAATGTGATAATGTGATAAAGTTTTAAGAGTATTATTGTTTTTGAGATTAGTTTTTTACGGTTGCTTACAAATATTCAAGTTTTCAATGCTTTAATTAATATTTCAATACCTTATATTATTTATACGATGGTATAAACATTGTATTTTAATAGATCATAATAATAATATAGAGTACTACAATATATAATATTATTAACCAATGCGAATACCCCTTTTTTATTAAATTTGGATAACCATTGTCATCTAAATCACTCAAGTATTCAATAACAAGTTTATTAGATCCGTAATTTTTCTGCGTGATCGCAGAGTTAGCTCCCTGGCTACCGAACCCCCAACTCTTCCCTCAAAAAATGGGGACGTGCAAAAAACGCATTACACGGGACATCGGCGGACATTAGTGACTCGGCCGGACGAGAAACCAATGAATCCGCGTTGGACGCGACTCCACTCGTTTTGGCCAACCACCGCGGTGGCTTGTAAACTTGGTAAGTCCAGTGGGGGGGTGGTAAGGAGGTGGTAAGCAGCAGCGTAACCGATTAGCGCCACTCAAAAGAGAGGGCGAGAGAGAAAAACCTGCGCAGCCAAAAGAAGCGAGAGCGAGAAGGATGCACTGCAGTTGCAGTGGAGTGACAGGAGCGGCACGAGGTGAAGATGGGTAGGCTAATTGATTTATTTCGCCCACTGTTCCCCTCTCACTTCCACTTGCACGCTGGTTGGCTGAATTACAGAAATCAGGAGCCGTGTAATAATGGCCGCCGCAATGCACTTGTGTGTATCTTTTCTTTTTGGCCCTGCAACTTAAAATTACTTTTGCATTTTTGCACAGTCGGAGGTGTTGTTTCTGCAACTCCCCATGCGCGGCCTCTCTTTTAACTCCAGGGGGTGTGCCAGAGAGGCGGCAAATGGCCAACCTCCCACGCTGATAATGGAAAATAATCAATTTTAATGGCCTATAATTTGCCAGCGCAAAATAACAATCGTTTCGCAGATTGAAAGGCACAACTTTTGCCATTCGAAATGCCAATACACGCACATAGAACTTTTCGCCCAACGATAACATTAATTTATTTATGTTGATAGAAGACTAGGCAAAAGTTGCTTCCACTAAAAAATATTTATAAGTCGGTGAAGAGAGAGTGAGAAAGAGAGGGCAAACACAAGCTCGTTGAGTTCGGCTCACCTTACATAATTTGAGCCGAACTCAAACTGGCTGGCAAATTGAGTGAGAGCGAGTGAGAGGCGTGTCTGAAGAGCAGGCTCGCAGTTGCGCAGTGGTTTCTATATCCATCCCTCTTTCACTCTTGTTAACCCCAAGTTAAGGCAACAGCCAATGGTAGAATGTTAAGAAAACTCAAAGAAAACTGAAGGGGGAGGGGGTTTTTACTGGGTATCGGATGTTAGGCAGCGGAATTAGCTCGCGTTCTCTAAGCCCCCCCGCTAGCCCCCTCCTGATTGATTTCGGCCCGTATGATTGATTAGATTAATAACGCGGCTAATTAAACATTTATCACTGTATCTCACAAACCGCCCGAAGGGGCTCAAATTAACCCTCACAAAGTAAAACAAATTATGCCTGCTGCTACAGGCAAACTTCTATAAAAAGAACCTTGTTTTTAAGATCTATTGTAGTACCCAATTTAACTTAATATACCCATTTTGAAAATTAAACTAGTCCCTAAGGATTTAACAAAGGATCGATTTAGACTAAAGACCTATCCCATGCTTTAAATACACATATATTTGTAATATCTTATCTCAGGAGATCTATGTTATTTTAAGACTAGATTTTTATGATAAAAAAGAAATACTTTTAATCATTTCGAGTTTTTTTTATGTTGTAGGGTTCTTGGAATAGTTGACGTTTGGAAAAACGGGTTAAAACCTTTTTTAATATCAGTTTTGATTAATAATTCTGTATTTTTCATAATTTTTAGGAAAATGATTAAGTACTTTATAAATGTTCTCAGACCTAACAGTTGATTTCCTATGTGTTTTTCCTTAAGTATTTGAAATATTCTAATTTTTTGTAATTCTTTATATGACAGATGCCAATTCAAGTTAAGGATGTTCGACTGTGTGCCTGCTTCTAATTGCGTTTCGTGCTTATTTTTTTTGGGGATGGGCGCATTAATTATGGCCGCCTTGGCTAACGCCTGCCGGCCGCCATTATTTCGGTAGCAAAGTGGCCAAGTTCCAGCCAGATAGCCATCTAGTATCTACATCCCGGCCCAAACTTACCCGAACTTAGAGCCAAGCCCTCTGGGCCGTGCATATTTGTGGTAGCCACGCTTCCTGTTTTTGTTTGCTCGCCTGTCCGCTGTCCGGCTGAAAATATTCGAAACAATGTAGACAAGAAGTGCTCAGGCCGGGCGGAGTTTTTGTGCCCGTGGTTAGCGACGCGGTGGTGTTTACCCACATGTAGGCATATGCATATGCTGATTTCCACCGGAGCGGGGGCTATATTTTTTTACAGGGGGAAATGGAAGTGGGAGTGGGCCGCCGACTTGGTGAACCGTGAAAAAACCCTGGGGTAGAGTTCTCCTCGGGCCAACAGAGAATCGGAATTTCGAAATGCTAACAAACAAATAGAAAATAACTTTTAGGCACAGCGCTGTAGCTTCCTTATAGAGAAAAACAAGAGGCCAACTTTCGCCAGAAGGCCTTTACACTGAGGGAAAATCATCTATCTATCATTCCATTCAACTTAAAGGGAATGCAAGATTTAAAAAAAGGGAATATCCCTACTGCACATTTATTGATCATATGTATACTTTATAGTATAATCGATGGAAGAAACTGATACAAAGAAGTTCTTTGCTTCTAAAACCCAAATATGTTTAAAATTCGATAAGTTAGATCTAGACTTTTAATATTCTTAGCTTAAGATATTTTTTTCAGCGTAAGACCTTCTTTTTAGAGACCAAAGCCAGCGGAAATATGCTCAAGTTTCTGTTTTTGTTGGTCGGAAATGTTTAGCGCTTGCTCAGAATGATTAAAGTGTCGCTTTTTGTCTGGCTCCAGTTGCTTTTCCCCATTTGCATGCAAATGTTCCTCAAAATTTGCTGACTAATGCGAAAGCAAACAAATCTACGTACTTCCATTGTAGGTTAAATAGCAAAGACTTCCTGATTCTTCTCAAAAGTTGATGTACCCGTGAAATTGATTTGGATGTGCCATTTATTCCTACATTTTACTGGATTTTTTTTTTAGAAAAGCTTACATTTTATAAAATAAAAACGATCTTACTATTTTTATAGATCAAGTAGAATACACTAGCTAATTCATAAAGCTGCGATCTCAAATTATATAAAACCCAAATTTTGATATTTTCGGTAGGTATGGCAGTAATAGTAATCCCTTAATCCATTCCTCGGATCCGTCACTCAAATTTAGATACTGAAATTGGCGGGCTACTGACTCATGTGCTTCAATATCACGGCGAGCACGCACCACTCGGCCGGCGGAATGTAATGATTAACTTTTCGCAGTTGCTAAATTAAGTGAGTTTTTACTGCTGACCGGATCGGGGGGACTATGGGTATGGCTATAAGGTGTGGGGAGTGGAGTGTCGCAGTCCAGGGGCTCCTGCATCATCGACAAGAGCAAATTTGCAGTTGGCCAGCTCAAAAAGGAGTGGGAAAGGGGGATGGCATCGCATTGCGTGTCTGCGACTGGGGCCAGAAATGATTTCCACATACCACAGCAGTTAAAGCCCTTAAGTCAGGGAGAAAATCCAATTAAATTCGGTAGCGAAAGAAATAAGTCTGAACTGTCGGCAAAATGATTCTACATACACGTATTTGCGTCAACATTGATTTTGCAGAAACAGAAACATCCAAACAGGGATTCGATGGGATGGACTCGGTGGCAGATTCGGGGGCGAGTGCGGGTTAAGCGGCTCCAAAACAAAGACGGACTGAATGTAGTTCATGTGCATGGCGATGGCGTGATTGAGGACGAACCCGAGGACAGCAGCAGCAGCAACAGCAACTGCACAACAGCAACATCAGAAACGGGAGCAGCAGCAACATCAGCAGCGGTAGCAACAGCAACATCATCAACTCACACATAGGAAAATGATCCACAAAATTAGAAAAAATATTTACTTCTTTAACTATAGGTCTAAAAAATTTATTTTAAATTTATACTTTATACTTCTATAACCAAATGTTAAAAAATTTATTTTTTTTGGATTGTTAAGTCATAAGGAAAGTATCTACTTAATTAAGAAA